ATGCAGGCTACTGGACCACACAAGCCAGAACGTTTCTTATTTGTGGTTAAATGCACTTTTGGGAAAATTATCGATTATCCCATTATTCCCAACATCAAGACCAGTACATCTCATGCATGACAGGAGTAGTAACATGACGAAAGGGACAAGAGAAGGAGGCTCAACCCAATTTGAAGTGTCAGTTAGATTTGCACAGAAGCAGCCAACAGAGATGTCCTCCAAAGAAACCATGAGAGTACTTTTTACTTCTACACTTTCAGTACAGTTCCCTGTGCTTTTTCAGTTTTACTTGAGTAAAGAAGTTGAATCAGTACTTCTGCTTTTTACACACAAATGTACTTCAGTAACGAATGTGTCTCCTCTGTTGATCTGAAGGGGAGGTAGATGTGTTTAGATTGCTAGATCTGAGAAAGGAAGGTGAGTATCAACATGCTGTGTAAAACCATTAAAGTCTATGAGATTTAGGAAAGCTTTACTTGATGGCTCGGATTTGTCATCAACATGAATATTAATCCTCACAATTAAAACACTGGTTATTTGTGTCAGTATGTCACAAAGGTAGAATACTCTGATAAAAAATAAAAAAAGAAAGAAAATAAGGCCCTTGTGTGATACAAAATTGCTATGATTGCAACTTTGCATAAGAAGTACCTCAGATGACTAAAAACAGAGGTGTTGATTAGGTTTATCATTAACAATCTGGAGTCATATATAACAGCTATGCCGCCACCGCTTTTTGATTCACATGACACTTGTGTAGTGTAATTTAGAGGTGATGCCTCATTTAGGCTTACAAAATAATTTGGCTCAAAATCAGCAAGGTTTTAGTGATTTAATGTTAATAAAATAAATCTTTAAACGTTTAACATTTTGCAAAGCGGCAGGGGAAGAAAAAAAAAGGAAGGCTTGGCATAGATTTGCTTTGCTTTCAAAAATTGTAGCTCTTACATTGAACATCCTGGTCATCACTGATTATGAGTGTGACATGATAGCTGTGGAGTAAATGGTTATCAATACTATGGGGATTTTATGGGACTTGGCAGCTATCATTAGAAGTTTTTATCATTTGAATGAATAAAAACAGGCCATGAGCCAGCAGGACCCTCTCTATCAAGAGTGGTTGTGTTTTGAATCAAGATGAGGTTGTTCGAGTTTTGCTCAGATGTGAGTCAGAAGGAGTTAAAAGCTATATAGTTGATCAAATTTGACATCAGTTTCCTAGACCCTTTCCAATTTGTGTGTAGGCTATCAGTCTTACATAAATCAGTCCAAAAAGAATGGCTGATAAAACCATAACCTGTTGGTGTACAGATGTTTTGCAACCACTTATGGAGGCTAAAAAGACAGCTGAAATGTTCAGATCTGGTTGACACAGTGGGAATAGGACCAGGTAGTGGACAGCGTCACTCCAGGCTGTCAATAGTTAACACCAATGATCCCATGTCGCACTGGAGCTTAATTGATTGTCTGGACGTCATTTGTTCCTGCATTCACTATGACTGTGTGGATCAAAGGGTGAAGTTCAATCAGCTTTTGTAAGAGTTCAATAAAATCTGCTACTTTGCCACCAGAAAGGCAGCAAGTAGATCCACAAATCTTTTTTTTTTTCTGGTGCCAATGCAAACTGAGAGTTTAGGTGCAAGCTGGTGATTAACAATCAGTGCGCTAGTATTGCAAGAGAATTGGCATTGCTGGAGGTGGTGGCTTTGGGGTCTGACAGTGGTGCAGAAAGGGAGGCTTTGGATGTAGCAGCAGCGTTACTGAGTGCCCAAATGGAATTATCTCTGGGCTTAATGCTACATTCGGATACTGAGGCTGATAGTCCATTTGCTATCCCAGGAGCTCGGAGTGCTGGGCAGGTAGCACTTGTTGATTGATGCTATAATCGGTTTCACGAGCATGAGAAACTGGAGAAACTGCGTCATCTGTGACCTCAGCCAGAGGAGCAAAGCGGCTGAACTGAGGAGGAATCATCTTCTCTGTCGGGGTCGTAGAGCGTAAGGGAAAACTTTCTCTTGCCTTTCACCATCGTTGCAGGAGGAACAGATGGGAGTGGGGTTAGTGCCACCCCCTTGTGGTGTGGTTGCCAAGACCATCGGAGACTGACAGCCGGGCTGTTCTAGCCAGGCTAAACCGGATGCGAGCTCCGTTAGTCACTGGACAAGATCCATGATTAGGAGTTCAATCGATTTCATCTCAGTTATTATGTTTCATGTTATGTAATATTTGATGTCGTAGCCATTCTTCAGGAGGCGACTTCAGTCGGACAACCGGAGAGACAGGATCATCATGGTAGGTAAGGAGATTGACCCAGGCTATTCTTCTAGTAATGGCAGCTGTCCAATTGAGGTCACAGACTCAAAGTCAGTGCCCTGCAGGGAAATGGGGTGATCTGTGGTATGTTGCACGCAATCAAGTGAGAAGACTGAGGCTGTGCAGGAATGTAGATGGTTGGTTAAAAGAGCGTAAAGGACTGCAAGATCGGTTAATGATACTGATTAAAAGGATAAAAACACTTAAAAGCAGAATGTGAAACTAGACGAAAGACAAGAGATGCTGGCTGTAGATGCTGATGCAGGCACGTTGAGCACAGCAATGAAAGCACTTAGAGAACCGCTACCACAATTCTATAATCGAGTAATAGCAAATGTATCGGACTTCCTCTAAAATATACATGCAGTATTGAATGACTGATATTGGCCGTTATTTCTGGAGAATAATTTAATCCTCTCTGTACTTACTAGAGAGTCGTACAATGATGAATGATGAATGTAAATGCCTGCAGGCGGACTGTATTCTGTATCTATTTGTTAAGTGCCATCAAATTTAGCAGGAAAGCTGGGAATTACCACAGTCATCTGAATTTGGCAGTATTTTCACATTGTGTTCAAATGTTGTGACAGCTTATGTCAAATCAGCCAAACCAAGAATTTGCCAAACAATTATAGGAAAACTGTAACAAATCTCAAAAACATAGAAAGACACACATATGTATATTAGCTACAAAAGATTGCATGGTCCATCAAATCATCATTCAATAAATAACTAGATTGCTCTACACCACAGAGTTCAAGGGATTCTTCATCATCAATTGAATACCTTGCTGAATAAAAACCTGGACCAATTCTTTAATTCACTCCATTCCAATAAACACATTATGTCCAAATTATTTAGACAACCAGCTTCTTGTACAATGCCCTAGTAGAACCAAAATGAGCGTTACAACTGTCCTCATTATGGTACTACTGTATCCAGATTTTCAACACAAAACACACCACTTGTTCCTTGTTCATTTGCCACAAAGTTTTACTGACAGAAAACAGAAAAAACCTGGTCAAAAACGCTACCACTTTGGCTCAGACAGGTTGGAAAGAGAGTCAACTGAACTGTGTGGAAGCCCCTCAGATAAACTGGGTTAAAGTGATGCACTGAGGGAGCCCCACAGTATCCGACTGCCAGCTCTGTCCTAAACCAAACAGGCAATTAAATGACATTTTGGTTGTGAGTGTGTGATGTAAATAAATGCATTCACGTACCACACTTTTACATTACTTACAAATTTAAGGTGCTATTACCTTTGTTACCAGTTTTTACTAGTTTCTGAGACACTAAATATCTGAGCAATATACTGTGGTTAGTATTCAACATTTAATATTCCAACACAACAGCTTCAATTAACGTGGAGTTACTTTGCAGAATTTGTAGATTATTCAATAATGAGCTTAGGATAAGATCATAAAACTTGCACACAAAAAAATTCTTATATAATTCTTCTTATATAATCTAAATATTATATGTATATTAATATATATATATTAATAATAATATTACATTATATTTTTAGGCACACAGACAAACAAGTGTCCTTCACCTCTATGTCAAAATGTCTTTTAGACATAACTCGTTATCAATAAAGGGTTTTAGAAGATTTTCTCAAAGTACAGAGGAGTACGCAAGGCTTTAATTATTCTGAGAGCAGGAACTACTCTTCATTATTTCATTATCTCCAATTATTTTTAATCATTTCACCGGTAATACTTCACGTGTAAGGAAGTAGTTTTCCATTGTGGTGATTATTCCACTGCTGTGTGTGAGGAAGCAGTGTACCAAAGTGAGCACAAAGACACTGTGGCACAATAACAGGTGGCTGATGACTTTGTTCTGCTGCTGGTACCATAGATGTCACACCTCAGGTGAGATTATTCTTTCACACTTTCACCCTGTGACTGCAGATGTCTTTTAGTATCTTCAGTGAGCCAGAAGAAATAAACAGACATCTTTGTCTGAACTATCTTATGTGCGGAGACATTGACTAGATGTGACAGTGTGGGAGATCAACTACAATATTGGCCAACAACCGGAACTTATCAAACAGGACGACAAGAAAAGTAACAAGACATGATTGATATTATTCCTTTTTCCAATAATACTGTGACAAAAACAACTAGCAGACAGAACTATTGTGCAACTTTGTTACCACAAAATCTAAATATGACCTGAAGTTAGCGGGGGGGAAAAAGGCATCCATCCCTTACAAGATCCTTTAGTTATATTATTTTGAAACAAGCAAAAAAACAGTAAAAAAATCTGAAAATAGATAATTTGCCTAATAATTTCCAAGAAAAATCACAGCTGATGCCAGAGCAATGATCTACCTTCGTGTCATCATGAAAACCTTTCTAGAAAAGTCTTGGTTCACGTGGTTATTTTTTAAGAAAAACAAGTCATGTTAGTTCGTTCCATAGGTGCAGGCACATCCATTACTAACTTTTCATCAACCAAAATGATAACAAGAACATCGAAAATCATTTTTTGGATGAAAAAGTAATTTCAGTCATTCATCTCAAGAGCAAGCTCACAGACAAGCTATTTAAAGGAGCCCAGTACCTACGACCACAGAAAGCTAGAACAAGAACAAAGTGCAAAGAGAGAAAGAAAAGATGGGATTTATCATCTCTCTCTCTCTTTTTTTTCCTGAGATGGAAAAGGACTCGTGTTACCTGTGTGACCTGAGTGACCTTCTCTGTGACGTTCTGGGTGCGGTCTTTAATCTTGCTGGGTGCGATGATTTCAATCTCAGTGGGTGAAGGAGGTCTCATCCGGTCCGAGCTGAAGGTGAGAGTAACCTGAGGAATGCGGCCGATGGTCCTGAGTCTCATCAGGTCTGAGTCCGACGTGGAGTTCAGAGCGCTCGGCTTCAGATCTGCAGCAGAGAGCAGCAACAGGAATATTATGAATGGCAGTGTGAGATATGGAACAAGTGAACAAGAAGAGAATGAAATTGAATATCTGACAATGTATTTCAATGATAAAATGATTTTTAAAATTCGCTATGATGTATTTTTAAATGATTGTATGTAAAAGTGTTCAGATTTGAAGGTCAAATCATGGCCAAATTTTAAATATACATTGCAGTTAAAATGTTTTTGTTCATCTACTATTCAACAAGGGAATTAAGACAGACTGCATTTCTCCTCAGCCTCAAAGACACAGATGGACAAACAAATATGGTGAAAATGAAAGAAAATGTGACAGACAGAGTGGGAGTCCGGAGTATGATTGGAACCTGCAAAAAAAATACATAATTTCCTCACAAAATATTTCCCCTGAGAGAAGAAGGGGGGACATATGTGCCGTGATGTGCAATTTTAACACAAATGGACCACAAACCCTCACACACACGCACACACACTGGCAGAGGGATTGATTAGTGTGTCTCTGCTGGAACAACCATCAGGCGACCGCACGTGCTATGATCTCTCTTTCTCTCTCTCTCTCTCTCTCTCTCTCTCTCTCTCTCTCTATTTCAGTCTTTTCTTTTGTCTTACAGAAAAGATTCTTTCATTGAATCGTGGTGAGTAATCTGTCATGAGCTGCTTGTACTTTTTGTTGCTTGTTCATCATTTTCTGATTGGAACAAAATCAGATATAATGAAAATGATGAGTGATTCCATGAACAACAACGTCCCCTCCATGACAGTTGTAACATAAACTGACTTTGAAACTGACCTGGCATAGGTTAAACTCACCACAAAAAAACAAATAAATTACACATTTTTGAATACAACCCAGGTGTCCACATCTTTTGATTTGTATTCATAGTAATTAAACTGTCTTCAAAATCAATGTGGTATCATTCATTTATGTTAAAATACAACATGTTGCATCTGAAGCTTTGACTGACCGTAATCCTGTATTAAATTACTGTATCAATTGTTGTCTAATCATGTAATCAAATTTTAAAAATTCCGGAGATGCTAGCAGGATCTCACTCACTGCTATTGGCTCGCGGTTCTCCAGGTCGACTGTTCCATTCTGCCCTCATGCCATCAATGTCGTCCAGTGACGAGGCGCGTCGGAGGCTGCGGACGCTGTCCCGAGAACAGCTCCGCGGTAACGTCCCCCTGGGGAAGGCGAGGCCAGGGTCCAGCCGGTCTGTCAGCAGGGAGCGCTGCTTGGTGGAGGACTGGGCTGCAGGAGAGGGAGGATCCAGGTCCTGTTCTATCAAAGCTTCCGTCTCAGACTGCATGCAGCTCTCTTTGGACGGGATCCGAAATTCTTTGAGAGGAACTTCCTCGCTGTTTGGCTTTCAAAGACAGAAAGCAGGTGGCCATGTGTCAGGTGTACAAAAACTTTAATTACTTAGGAAAATATTCTCTGTCAGCTGTTTGTTGTGTCATCCAAATCAGGGTAACCAAACTCATAGCCTACATCACAATAGCACACCTACAATAGAAAAGGAATGTTTTATTGCTACCAAAGAGTCCCAACATGTAAACTTGGGCGACCTGGCCCAATATAGCTCCAGTGTCAGATATGGATACTGTCAGGAAATAGTTTCTCACAAGAAGTGATTCATCAAAACAGAAGAGAAGCCTAAACAGAAGTGAAGGAGGCTCTGAGAAAAGAAAGATGAACTCAAACAATGGCAGATAATTTCCCTTCATTCTTCCCTGTGTTTTTTTATGGACCAAGGAATATTGGTACTTGTATAGTCTTCCAACCGCTCAAAGCACTGTACACCACACTCCACATTCATACCAATGCAGAGCATCTGGATGAATTCAAGGTTCAGTATCTTGCTCCAGGACACTTTGACATGTGGTGGGAGTAGCTGGAGATCAAAACACTGATTTTGGGAATAACAGACAGCCTGTTCTACCTCCTGAGCCACAGGCATCACCAATTTCGTGTGAAAAGTATAGCCTTTTGTCTCTAAATTATTTGTTTTGTGCTATTCATGTGTGAAGAACAGTTATATCAGTGTAGAGAATTAAAAAAAATCAGTCATTGAAAAGGCTGTGCAGAAAGTGTATATTATTTTTCGTATAAATTCTGGCTACTATCACATGCCAGTACGTGCTACAGCTGAATACAAGGCATACATATATACGTAAGCATACAGCATTGCATGATCTCTTGTGAGTGTGGTGAGTGTGTGTACTGTACATCAGCTCACCTGCAAGTAGTCCACTACCACTCCTTCAAACTGATCTTTGGAAAGTGAAGCTCGTCGCATGGACCGCAGCACCGGCAGCCTCATCTTCAACCGGCGATTCTGACCTGAAGGGAAAACTCTGTGTTATCAAAGCTCAAAACTACTACAAATCTACTACAAATTATGTTCATGTGCACATACTTTATATTACCCAATATATTATACAATAATGTGTGAGATATTGATTCTTACTGCACCACACAGGGTGTTCTTTTTGTACATGTATGTGTAAACAATTATTGTAAATCACTGAAGCAAAATTGTTACATATGAGCATAAACTAATACATTTAAGTTGCAAAAATCACATGTCTTAGTTTATCTCTAGAACAGAGGAAGACTCAGCTTCCCTTAACTTGAATGTATATCATGCAAATAAGGTATAAGACAAGTGGCTTTACAGTAAATCCATCCTTGGGCGACTCTCTGCCTGAGGCCCGACTTCTTGAGAGAACGATCAATCAGCTCCTGGAAGTCGAGGATGAACATGATGACAATGCCTTCCTCGTTTTTTACGGGAACAATGTCCACCAGGCACGGTCTGCAGGTTCCTTTAGGCATATAAAGAGAAAGAGAGAGAGATAATGGCAGACATTAACAGGAAAACAGGGGGCATCCGGATTTGAACCGGGGACCTCTTGATCTGCAGTCAAATGCTCTACCACTGAGCTATACCCCCACATGCAAAAAGTATGACTGCCATCTGATCTATTTTATGAGGCCATGCCTTTGTGGAAGGTCATGAGGGAGGAAATCACAGGAAGGAAGAGAAAGGAATAAGGGGGAGAAAACTGGAAGGGGCAATGGGAGCTCAAACACTGAAAGCTAAAAAAGGCTAAATGAGTAACACTTCCGTCACGTCTAACTTCAGTCTGCAATCAGTGTGGTCTAAAAATAGAAACGGGGGAGAGAGCAGATCACACACACACACACACTCACACACACACACACACACATACAGAGGACCATACATCCACACACACTGAGAGCCTGCATTCAGTCCCTTTCACATATCCACTCTGAGAAAACTCTGACAGGTTTTTAGTTTGGAGATAAAAGGGGGGAGAAAAAAAATCAGCCTGTGAGAGCAGGCGACTTGTTCTGAATCACACTGTATCCACTTGTTCGCAAATTTTTCTGCCTGTTCAGTCGGGGAGCACAGTAGGAAGCAGGAGACAAAACAAATAGATGCTTAGTGGATTTGAGCTGGCATGCTGATCACATTTCCATGACAACAGCACTCTAGACTGCACGCCCCATGCCCAAATGGCCAAAGTAACAAAAGACACGTGTGTGTATGTGTATGTCTGTGTATGTAAGTAGACAGTAAATCTATTTGTGTTTATGGCGGACGTTTTTTTTTTCCGTGCTTGCCTCCATTATGTGTTTCTGCCTCGGTGACTCTGTTGCAAGTAACTGTTCAAGGTAAAGAAGGAATTAAAATGTTACAGGTGACAGAGACCAGTGAGGCAATATTAAGCTTTGAGAGGAGAGAACATTCATGAAAATGCCACCGTGTGAATCGCAGATCAAAGGTTTAAATGTCTCGGTTTATTATTTCTTTCTGTTCTGTCACTCAGTTCTCTCTTTACAATTTTTAATATCACCATCTCTAAATCTCTACTGTTTTCATTCGTTCTTGCTTCTCCATCTGTGATAATTATACTTTTGTTTGCACACAACTCTTCTAAAAATCAAAGTTTTGCAATAAAGATAAATACAGGTTGAGGTTGAAGCACAGGAGAGATTGCTGAGGAGGAAGGGGAGAAGGGATTAAGGTTATGACAACAAACCAATATGGAAGAACAGAAGAAGAGGCACAACAAGTGTCCATTAATTGGAACAGCTCTTGAGAAGAGAATACGGTGCTGGGTCTGTCTGCCTGCCTGGTCTCGCTGCGGAGGTGACTGAGTGCAGAGAATGCAATGTGATTTAAAGACTGATTATAAAAACCCTGATCTGGCCATGATGGCTGATTTTCAAGATCGGAGTCTGTAGTGGTCTGCAAATAAACATGGCAGGTGACCAAAAATCAAGATCTTTTTTCTTCCTCATAGAATATGGTAAATATCAGTGTGTTAGTATTGTGACAATGTTAGCAACTCACATTAACCAGATATAGGCTCCTTTTGGTTGAGCTTTGTATTTATCTACTGTGTACTGAGTTTACCACTGAGATCACCACTGTATATATTTATGTACATACATTTTAAACCAAGGAAACTACATTTCTAAACAGTATTTGTCCTTCAATGTTAACATATATATATATATATATATATATATATATATATATATACGGTATATCCTAAAACAAGTTGTCGTTTCTTCACTTTGTGTATCTAAAACCTAAAACATTAGTTTCACCATCCATATTCCAGAAATGAAGATGTTTTAAAATGTCCAAAATATGAGCAAATGGCTCAATGATGGTTAGGGTAATAGGAGGGATTAGGGTCTGTTGCAGGTTTCTTGTCAGAAAATGGATGGCAAAATAGTGGAACATATGGATGATAATGGTGACTGTGTTTTCATAACAATCAAGCTGTCCAACAGGCCAGATTCTGTGATGGCCAGAAGGCTCCTGCCCAGGGATCTGAGGTTGCAAACAGGCTCACAGTGGTTTTTTAATACCCTTCCATCTCCTTGTGTTTCACATTTCCTCTCCTTTCTTCCTGTCTTACCTTCCTTAGCGTAGTAGAGGATCTCAACCTTGCGCTCCTCAGAGCCGAGCAGGGCCTGTGCCAGCTGGGCCAGGGCACTCTTCATGGTACCAGGACCCACCAGGAACTGGCAGGTACAGGGCTGCTGCATTATCTCCGCCCTGGCAAACCCAAACAACTGGCAGAAGCCTTCGTTGCAGTAGATGATGCCACAGTTCTTCATCTGGGCGTTGGCGATCAGAAACTTGCGATCTGAAGGGCACAAGATGGGGCGTCACATCCAGTTTAAAAGAGGAAATATGTACAATGGGTTGAAGTAACAAAGCAAGTAAAGTTGTTAAAACATTTTCTTTATCTTTAGGTGTTTAACAGATTATAGAGTATATGTTACAATTCTTAAACATACCTTAACCAAGATGTGCCTAATTAAAGTCAATTAGATATAGTCATTGATCAAAAAAAGTTTAGGGTATTTACAATAAAAATTACACTAACACAGTTTAATGTAATCAAACACATTTAAGTGCTCTGCGTAGTTGTGTACGCTCTACACAATCAGTTGAAGTGGAGCTAATAAAGTCCACCTTTCCATGGTGGTAATGCTATTAGCGTCACAATTTCTCCCAAGGGTCTGAAGAGGAGCAGGTGGGCACTTTAACACAAGGGCCTTTGTGGCGTCACACCTGCTCTCACATAACTTGAGGGAATTTGCCACACTTTTATTTATTTAATTAAATTGTCGAATTATTTTTACCGTATTTGTTTACTGCTAGATTATGTTTAGTGTCTATTTATTCTGATTCTGTTTCTATTTTCTCATCTCTCTTTCCACTGCACACAGTGTATAGTCACTGTTTTCTTTATATGGTTTCGGAGGTTGTTTTAATGCATGCAGCAAATTATTTGAATATGATCTTTAAATGTTATTTAATGTTATAGTATTGTTTCTACATATATGAAATTTATTTGAGCCCACAAAAATATATTTGCCCCAGCCCCAAGTGGGTTTTTTTTTTCAACATGTGCAGATTAATTATTTGTCATTCAATAGCTTGCATGCTGCATGGAAACTATGAGTTGGGGGAAAATACTCAATTAGCTCAATGCAATGCTGTTTAGCAGTGAACATGTGTCTTTCCACCAACACATGACCCTCCTAAGGGGGTCGACCACCACCAATAAACTTTCATCCTATGGGAAACACCGCCGGCTGTACACTATCAGGTGGAAACTTTACCACAATAATGGTAAAAAACCTTTTGATGCAGAGTAAGTCTCTGCACTCAGAAAAAAATCCTTAATAGTAATTCAAAGCTCATATACCATCCAGTTCCTGTTATTGATGATTGTAATGTACGTGGCGCCAGCAACAGACGCTATGCAATGCACGTGTTGGCGAAAACTTTGTCCACACCATGAAAGTGAATTAGGACAGTTTTGTTCGAAGGCTGCTAATGGAGGAGTTCAGTGAGCTGAATGAAAAGTACATACATATCCTCTGCAACATCTGACTGGCCCTTTTATTATCCTGTGGTGGAACTGGGTTAAACAGCTCTCCCTACTTTCTGCCCCCACAGATGAGGGGAGGGGACACTTCTCTCAGTCCCTCTCTTTCAAGTAAACGGGTGAGCTCCTCTGGTGGAAAGCACATCCTGTCCAAAGTCATTATCTGGGGCTCAAAGCGGAAACACTGATCGTCACACCGTTGCTAAGCAGCACTGCTGTGTCACGTGCACTCACCTGGCCGTGCACTTACACGTGGATGCGCGTGCACACAGACACACACAGACATACAGTAGAGGTATTACATAATAGTTTTTTAAAGGAGCTCCTTGAATTAAAGCATGATTGGGGGCCCCAGATCTAATCATACCAAAAACTTAATTGAGAGTTGTCAACAATCAAGTATTTCTCCTTGTTTGGTCAGTGTCTGATCAGGACGCCAGGGGTATTTTCAGTGTTACACATCCAACGCGCTGTGAGTGGTCAATAGTGTAATGCAAGAAGGCGCCAAAGAGAAAAGGGATGAAACTGACCTTGAAAGGTAGACTGAAAAGCAGACTATTTTGTGGCATTTGTAAACATTAAATTAGGCAATATTAAGAAAGATAAACGACTAATGTGCTATGATGTACACAATGTGAGTTCAAAATGGAGAGGTCATCAAATGCAACATCCATGTTTTATCTCAAGCCTTAGTGGCTTAGTGCAGAGGTTTTTTCTTTGTAAATGTGTGGTCTTTGTTTGCAGCTAGTGGAACATGTGAGCTAATGGAACATAATGTAAGACATCAGGTGAGCACTCACAAACAAACACAGCAGGTGCAATAACCCTAAAACATAAAAGGAGCAGCGGGGGACCTGTCAACGTCCCTGATACAAATTAGATAAGATATTTCAACGTAACATGAAAAGCCTGTCAGTCTGGCACCTGTTCAGGACAAAGAAAGAGTCGACATTCATTCGAACACAATACAGCCGACCGATCAGGTGTGAAAAATAAAGGATAGAGGAGGCTGGGGCTATAGTGTTTGTATAACTAACATAATGAGTGACTGACATAAAGATGAAATCAAAATAAACAAAGAAAAAGAGGTTTTACCCACATTATTCTTATTACTGTAGCCTAAAAAGTACATCCAACCCTGTTCCATTGACAACAAGGGTCTATATTATTAATCCTTAAATACTGTTTCCTCCTTCTGATGATAACCACAAGCTGTCAGAAATCCTTTTTAAGGGACTGAGGACATTATTATACCCCCCTTTGAACACAGGATGTAGGTAATGAAGGGCAAACTGAACTGAACTCTTTTTACACACTTTATTTATTAGCTTTTTTAAGGGCTTCCACCTTTATCAGATTTATTAAAATCATATTACATCATTAAAAATTGTCAAAATGATCCAAGTCTGTGTCTAAAAGTTCAAAAATATGCACATTGTGAAGGTGTTAAGGTTTTGTTTTTTGTTGTTCTCGTTATCATGGTGGGTGTTTTATAATCACCGCCTGGAGGTCAACTGTGTGTCCGCACTCTAACACCATCACATGGTCACAACTTAACTCATTTCATGTGCACTTACTTTGCTCGTCGAATTTCCTGATGATAGTGTCCAGGTAGGTGTTCTGGAGCGCAACATGACCGCGTCTCACAGGCATTTTGATGCTGAGAGAAAAGACTTCTCCGACACATGAACCTTAGTAGTTAAAAAATAATAAAATAAATAAATAAATAAAATAGAGAAGGATCTGAAGTCCCACCCGTGAAGAAAACAATCTACTTCCACTTGGTGGATGAGCGTCAAAAACAGGGTTTTTCCTTCTCCGAGGCTGCCGCTGATGGTGAGGGGATGAAGCGCTGGAGAATGATGGAGAGGAGGTCTGGTTGCCAGGGCGATAGCAGATGCAGGAAGATGCGCGTTGATAAATTGACGGGGGAAAAAAACCAAACAAAGTAAACTAGGACACTGCAAAAGCCATATGCAAAAGCACTTTACCTTTTAAAAAAGAAAAAACAAACAGTGCATGCACCGGTTTCCACCACGACTTGGTGTCCCGCACTCAGTGAGGAAGATGAAGTTGGGGGACAAATGCTCTCAGTTTGTTTTTATAATCGCAGCTTTCTCCCTCGTGTTCGGACACTGCACGATATGGACGGCGGAGAAGAAGCGTCTATTAGCCAGGATCCGTGGATCCACTGTCCCCTCCACCGGCTCCCCCGCCCCCCACCCACCGGCTCGACAAGAGCGGCTATCAAGGGTGTCAAGTCAGTCAGAGTCCACCAGGACAGGCACGGAAGTAAATTTAGATTCTTTCAAAATAAAGCCAAATTATTTTCTTTATTTCTCCGGATAGCCTCAGAGCATGCAGGAATAAGCATGAGTCAGGGTAAAGTTTGCTTTAAGATCTCTTCAAGGTGGCTAGGACAAGCTTTATAAGGGAATATTTCTTCAAATAGCCCATGGTAGGCTCATGTCCTGCAGCATGGTCGTAGTGGGCCCAAAATTACTTGTTTATTGTAACCCCAAAATTTGTTGCAGCACTCCCAAACCCAAAACTTTTTATTTGTTATGATTTAGTACAGTGTTCTTAAATGCTTTTTTTCAAAATCACAAGGCCAGACATTACTGCTACCAACCCAGATTTTAGAATATACTTAGATTTAAAAGTATTGTGGTCATGGTATATTAAGTAATACATATTAATTATTATTTAAATTAATTAAATATTAAAAGACTGTCTAATTGTTGTCATAGTGTCCTCAAATGTCCTCAAAATCAGTCAAAGTATTTCTTAATAACTAGATGTTTTATTTTGAAATCCAAGCCCTGAAGTTATGTTTACTCTGTTGTGGATGACTTGACAGCGGTCTGACACTGACAGAGTGCAGACCCTCATCTACTCTGCTTCACTCCACATCACAAGTCTCTGAGCTCAAAATAGCAGCATCCTCTCTTTCTGTGGCTGCCCATCACACTCCTGGAGTATAATATTAATCTATAGTCATGATAAGGTTCAAATGGCCCCCTCTGTGTGTGTGTGTGTGTGTGTGTGTGTGTGTGTGTGTGTGTGTGTGTGTGTGTGTGTGTGTGTGATGTGATGTCTCCTTTAAATCTTTCAGAAAAATAGTTTGGGTTTGTATGTTGAAGTAGCTTCTTTCTCTGTTCTTCACAATGACTTCACAAAGGAAGCACCGGGCTTGCAAATTCCTAGAGAGCCAACATTATGAATCACAGCACACTGATGAGCTGGATAAGTGCCACTAAAGCAGAAAAATCTAAAAGTGAAAATGAAACACGGTTGTAAAGTCTGGTGAGAAGACGGCGCTCGGGTTGTCACAGCCAGGGATGTGTTGATATTATTATAGTACTCCCTTATGAAATACAAAAAGGACCTTCACCTGGAGTCTTATGACTTAAAGGACTAAATCTTCTCCCAGAACCCAAAGAGGAGACACGTAGCTGGCACAAGCTGTGTATTTCAGAGACAGAGCAGACGTTCAGGCCACAGTTTCAATTGTATACCTACTTAAAGGTCACATGGAGTTGCTCCAAGTGGCATCTTGCACATTGTCAGTCTTGTTTGGGAACAGCCACCACAGAAGAGTTTCATTGACCAGCTCGTCTGAGTGTTGTTTACCGGTGATGGTATTTAAAGGGCAGTCTCATTGTGGATCCTACCATACTTCCTTTTTCTCAGCATGTCTCAAACACCAGTGACTGACACCTGTATTGACTTTCTTTGCCTTTGTGCCTTTTTATATTAGTGGATAGCTGATCTATACATTTAAGAAGTCATCGCTCCACTTTGTCCAGAGACAGTTTGGCCTGAGCATGTGTCCACTGAAACAGTGGTTCAGTCTGTAAAGGGTGTCTGGAGATCAGAGGGTATGTGCGTTTATGGTCTGGCAGACGGGCTGAGGTGGTTGCTCTGTGTTTTGTCTCAATGGCCTTGATGAAATGAGGGCTAAAATTAACCAAGGAGCACACATGCCTTCCCATGACCCCTTGGTGTGAGAGCCAAGTAAGACAGGAATGTGCACTAAAGAGGGCAGCGAAAGACAAAGAGCACTGGCTGCAACACTGGCTGGTACGTGAATTTGTAGGATCGGTTGCAGCATCCCACTGATTATTTCCTCAAAGTTTTTGGTGTTTTCTTACCGAAAGTGTCCATATATACATACATATATATATATATGCACTGCAACCATACACTGTCTTTATGCACTCTTTGACACGAGAGTCAAACACTGTCCAAATAGAAAGATTTGGGTGTCTCAATTTGTTTGTTTTCATAACTGACTTGATTTTGGTTTTAAGAGCAGAAGACAAGAAGAGTTCCCTTCTCTAGAGTCTACAGTAATTTATTAAAATATATGGAGACGACAGGGAATGACCAGATAAATAATCACTTAATTTGCTAATGAAAAAAACTAAACTGTGCTTAGTTAACAGTTATTTTCATAATTAATTCATCTTGTTAAAGTAAATCATTTCATCCATAAAAAATCTGAAAATAGTGAATGCTTTCCCTAATTTCCTTAAACCTAAAGTTATATCTTAACAATTAAGAGGCTTCACTGAAGTAATGTGTACTTAAACAATTTGGATGGACAGTTAATCATTAATCATTTCAGCTCTAATGTATTTTGATGCAGGTTCAAATCAGATGAAGAAAACATCTAAACATTTGCAAGCATCATAAATGGTATGTTTGGTATATGTTTTCCAGTATGCTGAAGTTATTTGCTGCACCCATGAAAAACATCACCAGAATTCATTTCAAAGTCGTGCTTGTGTATTTCAATAAAAAAGTGTTGGCATTTCCTAATGAGACTGACTGTGTGTGTGTTCATGTTTTCTATAGCTTACATGACAGCTGTTGTCACCTCGCACAAACTGTGGGAAGATAATGAGCTTAAAAAATGGCCATCTTCGTCACCTTTCGCCCCTTCCTGGCCCTGTGGAACAACGCTGGATGGGAAAGTGTTTTCAGAGCCAGACGTCAGGGCTCGAGTTTTATCTGCCTGGAATTCCTTCAGCTGAGGGTCGCCTTCAGTGTGGACCTGAGACCCTCCATTCCTCTGATAAGAGCCCGGCAAAACAGATACATATTGTACTTTACACACACTTAGTTACTGAGTCACACTTCAATACACACGTCACACCCCGAATTTAATTTTATACTGGATAAAAAGAATTGTTTTTCATGATGACTTGAATAAAAAAAAAAAAACTGTTTAGTGAAAATATTTAGCAACTAATGCCACATTTATGTGCTGGTGGAAAGCTTTGATATCCTGGATTTCCATGTTGGGTCTTAAAAGCATTAATTCACTTGTAATTTCCATTTCCATGTTTAGTTTGGCAAACTACAATCATGCTTGGATTTTTTTGAGTGTTTTTGACCATATTGAGAAGGTTTCTGATAGCCATCATGCTTTCATTACTTTCTTATTAGATTTCCAAGTAACAGATAAAAAGCAGAAGATAAAATAAGATGGAAGAATAATCAAACATTTTGAGCTCTTTATGCTGCTTGAGGAAGAATTCTGAGCTCAAAATATGCTGTACAATATGTTGTACACTTCTGTTTGTTTGATTATAGCTTTATTTTGTCTTCATGCTTCTATTTAACCCACAAAATCAATGAAGATGTTTACTCTTCAGTCTTTTTGATTCAGATTTTGTTCTGAGCCACTTTGAAAGTCCTTTCCAACTGTTTCTTACAATTATAGCTAGATTGTTTTCAGGTGGTTCACGGTTTCCTAATTGGGACACATTTCTGTATTTGTTGAAGAGAAGGGAGCCAATCAGACACAAGATGATTCAGAGAGTGAGCAGCTCTTAAAAAGGATGTGTTTAAGTTTAAGTTAGTATGGGGCAGTCTGAGTTAGACAAAAACATTTCATTGTACATATGGACACCTGATAATTGTTATTTGACAAACTTGAAAAATTGTGAAACTATCCTTAGTACAGAACAGAGAATATGACGAAATAAGAGTAGTTATGTAATGTTTTCTGTGAGTCTCTCAGTGATATTATGAAAAACAGACTTTTTGTCAACTTGAGGCCAGGTGTTTGACAATCCAGTGCAGGTGTTTATGTGTATCTCAGGCGACACTATTTTTGGCCTCTGCCTAAATCTACAGTAACACTCATAATGAGCCGTGATATTAAAGGAAGTGGACCCATCTGCTCAGCAGTACGGACTGGCCGATGGGCAGAAACAATCAGTTTTGATGAATAATGCCTGCTGCTGTCAGCCCCCTAATACCCTAAGGTTAACTGTTAGCATATATAACGCTCATTAACGTAGGATTAAAGCTGATATAATGTACTATTATACACTACTATGTGTCAGTTTTGAAACAGAAGCAAAAGAAGACGACCACCAACAGATTATGAAAAACAAGAGGAATCAAATCTAACAAACAAATGTTTTATTGTTGTTAACATGACACCATAATAAATTGCATTGGTCAATACTAATGTTATATTCACATTTGCAGAAGTTTCTTCCAAACAAAAAAAGCAGGATTTAGTTGTTTTTTTGCTACAAGACACAGGAGTCAGAGATTCTATCCAGACTGATATTCAAAAAAGACAAAACAAAACAGAGTGAACACAAGACAGGGATGCATCTTATTAGGAGACACAGGAGAAGGGGTTTGAGTGACAGGGGTGGAAGTTGTAGAGAGGAGGAGGCGGGAGGCACATGGGAAAAACAAATTCACAGCGTGTCCTTGGCGACGAGCACAGAGACAGCCAGCTTTGGCGTACTGTAGCACCACTCTCATTAGTGGCAGGGCCTGTCAGCATGGCTTCAGTCAGCAGGGGCTTCCAACAAAGCACGAAGCTTGGATTACAGTGTCTGAGCTGTGACGTCCCTCCATCCATTCTTCCTTCCTTCCTTTCCTTTTTACTCTAGCATCTACATAAAAAAAACAAGGGTTTCTGGTTGCGGGCGTTGGTAGTATATTATCTCAACAGCACGCTCTGCTGTCTCTGCTGCTATCAGTGAAACACTACAGAAATTGGCCGGTGAATTTGGGGGAGGGAGGTTGGTGGATTTACTGGAGGCTGGAGGGGCAAAGATCATGTCAGCTTCCAAACACATCCTCCCCACCTCCAACCTGGCTCTGTCTCTATCAGCTCTGTTAGATTAGTGGGCATGCCCCTGGCACGTCCTGGTGTCAAAAAATGATGATGTTATATCCAAGAGACAGAGGACAACACAGTGTGCGATGATTAGAGGATGAAGTGATGGAGGAAAGTTTAAATGCCCTACACACTCACTCACGGCTTATTTTAGCTGATTAGACCTCCCCTCAGGAGGTGTTGTTAGTTTTTTAGCACCGGTTAATGGGACAACTTACTTTTTATAATGTGAGATCATTGTAAAGGTTGCCATGGTCACTGCACACTGAGTGGAAGACATACAAACATTCAACATCTGCCATTAGTGCAGTCACATGGACCAAAACACAGCTAAAATAGGCTGTTATGCAAATGACTATACAAAGAGATTTATAGATTTATAGAGATTTATTATTATTATTTTTTTTTTTACTGTTTTTTTTGGACCTTTCAGCATTGTGTTCTTCCCTGGTGTGTGTAAAGGCACAGTATGTGTCTGGTTCCTGATTACAATGTCTACAGTTTACTGACAGTCCAGCATGTTGTTCACATCATTTGTTGTTATTTCTTCCCGGTTTTGCAGTTTTACCTATTAAAGGCAGCCATAGCAGGTTGTTTGGCTATTCTGTGAGCTTCTTCGGGTTTTGTAACATGTGAAAAAGTAACATCAACATATGCTAGATAGAGTTTGATGATCTCAGTAAACCCCACCCAGCTCCAATCTGAGCACGTCTAATAAACTAGATGTGAGACAGGAACACACAAACAGAGGTGGCTGCCTGAACAAAGGAATGAAATGTAAAATATCACCAGACAAAGGTTAAATTCACCTGTCATTCTGGCAAAAAAAAAGAAAACTGCTCTAATTTACACATATCTCTCTCATTCCATGCTTATCTTCCAGTTCTGACGTCCGAAAACCACAGCTCCCTCGTGTACTTCCCTTGCCACATTTCACATACACATAACCACACGTCAACCTCCACCACGCTACATATTAGCTGAACATGCTCACTACGTTTCAAGGTCTCTTCTACGGCAGCTAATCTGAAACAACGCTAAAAATCTGGTCCGTCAGTCCAAGTTAATACAGGTTACCAGTAATTTCCAGTAGTGTTTTTTTAGTGGCTAAAGACCATTTAAGATCTGTACAAAAGCTGAACAAAGATGTTTTTGGCAGAAATCCTAATGAGGGAGTCTATTATGTCATGGTTGAAGGGCAGTAAACATCTTAGCCTGCCAGTGACAATGAAAGGAGAGACAAATTAAATGTGATGACTCATGTGATGGGCAACTTTGGGGTTTGGAGAAAAGAAAATGTTGTACAAATCTTTCAAAATCCTCTGATCGTGCCTGAAGACAAGATGGGAGAGTTGTTTCTAAGACTTTAAGGAAGGTCTTTGTGTTCAGTTGTTGATTCCTTAATGATCTGAAAAGAAAAAGAGACCAGAGTTAAAAATAGACAGAGAAAAAAAAAAAGAACAAATCTCTGGTGAGTTTTTGCTGCATATGGCATCAGGTGTGCTGAGCGACAGTGAATGAGTGTGAAAACCTGCAGAAGGGTTCAACATTGCCCTCCAGAGGGAATGGGTGCAATGTGCAGATTGGCCTGATTCAGTGTGAATGTGTTGAACAGCACATACCTCCCCATCTCTGGTCTCCACAGTTCGAACCAGGATGCTCCTCTTCACGTGGGCCTCTGGGGTTTTAGTGTCCAGATTAGTTTCTGAAGGATGAGTAGAGGGAGACAGGGGAAAACATTCAGTCTAGTCCAAGAAATGCAAGTATATTGTCCTCTGTTCAAAGACATTTTATTCTGCCATCAAGTACTTTTCCATACAGTAAATGCAATATACTGAAATATACTGAAAGTCAAAATACACAATTCAAGATTCAAGATTCAAGAGGTTTATTGTCATATGTACAGTAGGAAACACAGTGGTTTATACGTACAATGAAAATCTTACTTTGCCCGACTCCCTTTACACAGCACACAAATAGAAGAATAGAATAAAGTTCAAATTAAAATATAAATGGTCCAAATGTTCCAAAATATAACATTCAGGGGGAAGAAAGCATGTAAGATCCCATGGGAGATATTTTGACAACTATCAGGCCCAGATAGCCATGATTTTTTTTTTTTTTTTATTTTTTTTGTTTAGCATTGTATACCTTTATTACATAGCAAGAGAGGAGAGAAAACAGGAAATGGCCACCAGCACACACCAAGCTCCAAAAGTTAATAATTTTGGTGACCCCTTGATCTTTCTTCTAGTGCCACCATCAGGCCAGAATGTCTACTTATTAATATTTAAATATACTGAACATGCCATTTCTCAAAAAGAAAAATCAATAAAGGGAAGACAATATGACGGGGGGGGGTCACAGTTGATACCGACCTCTAAACTGCATGTTGGAAAAGCTCTGAACTGGAATGGTGATCCTGGAGGAACAGAGAGGGGACAACTACAGTCACTGACAACAACAACAATATTTACAATCATTATTTGTCTGCCAAGCTCTGGCTCTCACCTGCTCTCCTCTCCCTCCAGCAGCTTCCTGTAGGTGGCGATCTCAATATCCAGGGCCAGCTTGACGTTGAGAAGGTCCTGGTACTCCTGCAGGTGTCTCGCCATCTCCTCTTTCAGCCCCTGGATCTCCTCCTCCAGATGGCTTACTGTATCCTGGTAACCAGTAGTGTCCATGGAGAAGCGGTCCTCCATCTCCCGTAGCTGGCGTTCCAGAGACTCGTTCTCAAAGAAGAAGAGACGCACAGAGTAATTAACTATGCAGATAAACACCCAGTAATGAACACCAACCTCTAATGTGGCACACTGTATGTTACTGAGGCTCCATTTTAATGTTGTATTTGTATTTTAAAGGGCAACCCTGCTGCCTGACACTGTTATTTTTACTACTTTTGTTGCAGCTACATCTACTTCTGATACTCCATCTGCTACTATATATGTACTACTACTGACCACTCTACTAGTGCTGCTAACACTACAACTATTTTTGCAGTTGCTACTAAAACTATCATTTACTGTTATATACCAGTGCCTGCTACAGCTACTATACTGTACCTTTATTAACCACTACTACTCCCACAATTGCTTCTACTATCTAGCACAGTGGACTTGAAATATATAGACAAGACATCCTTCTCCACACTGGAACCATTGTCTTATTGTCTGTCCTGGTTTAATGTTGTGAATGGTAAATTAACTAATGTAATGTAGTCATGTGCAAGTTGCTGTTTGCAATTTTGACACAGTGTTTTCTGTGGTTTAGTGGACTTACTGTCCCGCGGAGAGCCTCAAGGTCGCAGGTCACCACTTGGATCTGGCGCCGGTATTCGTTGGCTTCCTGTTTGGCCTGACGCAGTGCTTCTGCGTTTCGACTAGCTGCATCCGTCAGGTCAGCAAACTGTGTACAAAGACAAGTATATGTGATGTCTTCTGCTGTATATCCCATCTCCTCAGGACACAAGTTGAATCTAATGTAATTTAGATGTGCATTACTCTACTTCTAAGTACTACAGTACAGCATATCTGAGTCTTCTAACCTTGGATCGGTACCACTCTTCTGTCTCCTGCATGTTTGAAGTAGCCATGGTTTCATACTGGACCCTGATGTCTCTCAGAGCAGCAGTCAGGTCTGGTTTGGATACATCCAGGTCAACATGCACCTGCTGGGCCATGATCTGCTCCTGAAACTCACGCAGCTCCTGAGAGGGGGAGAGGTAGTGGAGGTAAAAGTGGAAATTCAGGTGGTTAAATGCGGTTAAAAGTACAGGTAGTGATGGTTAAAGTTGATTTTTTTCAGTTTAATTCTTACCTCATCGTGAGTCTTCTTCAGGAAGTTTATCTCATCCTGCAGGGCATCAATCTTCCTCTCTAACTGGACACGATTTAGAGATGCTTCGTCCACATCCTTTGCAAAATATGAGGCACATAGAGGAAGTGAGGGTGGACAGTCAGACTTACTGAATGTATTAAATAGTATACATCATGAATTCAGAGAAATATTAGCAGAATTACCTGTCTGAAGGCATTCAAGTTGCCCTCCGCATCCTGTCGGAGACCCATCTCCTCTTGCAACCTGAGTAAGTCACGAAAAAAGGAGTAAAAGCTTGAAATTAAAATGCTTCATAGATGATCATGACCATAAATAAACAAACACAAAATCTGTTAATCTTTTAAGTTTAAGTCTATTTGGTCTATTAAAGCAACCTACTGATAATTTCCAGATTCATTGTATTTATCATAACACACATTTTAAAAAGATATAACAAAACTCCATAAAACAATCCCAACAATTTTCAGTTTTGCTCCCATAAAAGTACTCATAGTACTTCTGATTTTTCCCTGCCTGCTCCTTTATGGCACAACATCAGTAATAGAGAAACAAGCATAGAGTCCTCAGTTGCGAGTTTCCTGTGTATTTCAAGCATTTCGATCAGATTTTTTCACTGTGAGCTTCAGTGCTGCTCCCTGTGCTTCAGGGGACGATCGGGGCTCAGCTGAAAGGGCAGCTTACGCATCATTACACATTCACTCCAATCTAACAGCCAGAGGCCTTTCCCACGGGATGGAGTTCATACACAGACACACACACACAAAAGGGTCCATGTGTGCACGCACAGCCTCACATGCAGACACACACCACCCTGTAATTCATCTGCCATACACACAGAGGCATGGAAACACAAATGCCCAGACTTGGGATAACATCTGTACAGCGTCACGCAGAGTTTGCTGAATGGAGTGGTTCGAGAAAAGCAGCGGGAATCACAAAAGTAACCTTTGACCCTCTCAGCCACGGCCATCACTATTCACTCTGTGTTCTTTCAGGGGACCAGCAGCTGCGTAGTAATCAGTCTTAAGTAGACTTTTCCACCCTCAGAGACATTCAATCGCTCATTCTCCTGACTAAATTAAATTATAGATTCATGCCACGTGTGCACCTTATGTGAAAAAAGTTGGATATGTGACTGCAGTGAATCAGAGTTTTGAAGTGACAAGAGACAAGAGAACATCTGCCTGGCTGTCTGTTTCCTTTGTGGAAGGCTACCATTGTGTGGGCCTCATTCCTCAGCACTCACTCAATGGCGATGAGGGGTTCAGTCAGGATCAAGTTTGTAAAGAGGGATCCAGGAGTAAAGCTCGGGCAGAGCACAGTGGTCTGCATTCCAACGAATCAGAGACAAACCAAATCTGCATATAAATGCATTTGAAATTTAAAAGAGAAAAACTCAGCTTAGCTTTGCAGCTAAACTTATTTAAGTGTTGTTCAGAGAGAGCTCAAATGTTGGCAAGCTAAAATTATTTTTCTCGTAGCCTAGTGCATCACCCAGTGCACAGCACAAACATTCAAACAAAGCCAAGTTGAGTTGAGTGAAACACCAAATATACAGAAGAATGGACAAAGCAAGAAGCAAGTTAGTGCCACTCCCCTCCATCTGTTATGAACCTTTTTACTAGTTACATCAAACTTTAAACTTAAGCACCCTTATGAAGGTATCTGTCAAAATGTTTTATATTTATCTATTTTTGTTGTCCACGAAACTGTGCAGGAATTTATCTACATGTATTTTAGCATTGAACCGACTTTCTTTTTCCTTCCAATAAGTTTGACAAGTGCCAAATTGAACATAAATATATTTCTGTCAGCAGAAAGTTCAAGTAAGAAAGCAAAATAAGTAGTGTGCAAAATTTTGGCACAGCATTATGCCTGACATAACAGGGTGGTACTACTGTGTGACTGTACATCACACCAACCACCCACAGGAGTCCCACCCTGCTTCCTCCTACCTCTGCTTGAGTGTGGCCACGTCTGTAGCCAGGTTGTCCCTCTCTATCTCCAGCCGAGCTTTGCCAGCAGTGAGACCATCCACCTGCCTGCGCAGCTCTCTCAGCTCCTCCTGGTAGATGTCTCCCAGGCGGCTGGGCTCCTTTCCCTTCAGCTGGTTCAGCTCGGCCACCAACATCTTGTTCTGCTGCTCCAACAGGCGCACCTTCTCTATGTAGCTCGCAAAACGGTCATTCAGGCCCATCATCTCCATCTTCTCGTTGGTGCGCGTCTCCTTGTACTGGGCCTTCATCAGGGTGTCAGCTGAGAAGTCCAGCCGGTCCCCAGGGCTCCCCAGGAGCAGGGCCGTGTTGGTTGAGCCCAAGGAAAGTCGGGATATCGGGCTGGAGTGGGTGAGGTTGCGTGGGGTGCCATGCCAGGAAAGGCGGCTGGAGGAATGGCTCCCAATTCTGACTCCTGTGCTGCTTGAGCCCTGGGGCCCGTAACGCTTCCTGTACGAGGACTGGTATCTCTGACCTTCCATGATGGGGAATGAAGCTCGCTCAGGGCACAAATGGGGCTTTTATAGAGGCAGGCGAACCCCCCAAGTCCAAAGCAGAGAGGCCACAGGGTGCGGCAGAGAGAAGGGAGGGTGGCAGGCAGTGAATGGGACAAAAAGGGAGAGCGAAGGGGTGGTTTACATGACACTCAAAGAGCTGTGTGCCAGGGATTGTCTGTGCTCGTCCACTCAACTACAAATGTCTTTTGGCTTTCTCCCTCTCTCTCTCTCTCTGTGTCCCCCCTCTCCTCCCTTCTCCCCAGCCTCTGACTCACTCTCTCTCTCTCTCTTTCACTCGCTCTTACTTTCACCCCTTTTTGTCCTTCACTCTTTCTTTCTGTTCCAGCTGAATGAAAAGGAATGTGTGTGACAGAGTCTAGCCGCCAATTCAACCTGACCACACATGCGCTCTCACAAAAACAGAAACAGAGTTTGATCGAACAAAGAGATGGAGCTGTTTGGAATAGATCTTCACTCTTTATGGAGAGAAAGCAACAGCATAATCACAGATGGAGCAGATAAATTAGACCCAGAGAAAGAGTGAGGTGTTAAATGTATTGGTTGCAGATGTAAGCTACAGAACAATGTCCAACATAAGCCTGCAGGTTGTGGTAGAATTGCTCTTTGGGTCTCATTGTGTGAGGAGACGAACAGCATGTAGGACAGAACCTCAGAGCTGTTGTCTCCTCTCTTTGTATCAGAGTTACGTAACAAGGACATAACTACATTATTCACTAACACCTGCTTACTCTAATGGGAATATTTTATTATGGAATTAAATTAGTCTTTGATTAACATGACAATTTCCAGTGTTGCTCTGTGTTCTTCATCAAATAGGTTGTTAATAAACAGATGATAAATAGACAGATAAAACATTTATAAGGAATTATGTCATACTAGATTAACATTAACATTAATGACACTCAAAGCAAAACTCAATCCTTTATATTTGTTACAGTAAACACGTTTTTTTCTTAATTAACTATTCAAATCAACTACTCAGTTGTACATGTGATATTATTTGGTCAGGTGTTTAACACTAATACTTTTCACACTCCTTGTTGAAGGCTAATAATCAACTGGCATTATCACAAAAGTTAGAAAATAAGAACTCATAGAGGTTAAAGTAAACGATACATAATCTTAAATCAAACTGATTACAGGTACAATAATGTCACAGAATTTAAATGTGCGGTTTCTCAATACACTGGTTTAAAACTATAATTAATTTATGAATCTGTAAAATTAACACTTTATAACCCAAAAGTCAAAAGTCTATTCCCAAACACATCCCTAAACCCTGTAAATGATTACATGCTGCAGTTTGTGGACAAAACATTTGTTGTGCTGGTTAAGAGATTGTTTTATTTAAACATATGTGTAAGCAAGAGTCAGTTTATATGATTTTATATTGTGTCTCAAAAGAGTTAGAATAGTTAGAAATACACTTTCTTGACATTTTGACTTATGTTAAGAACTTTTCAGCAAAATACTGGTGTGAATTTCATGAGATGCTCTTTAAATATCCTTAAAGGGCTATTAATTCAAGGACTTATTCATTAACTGATGATGTTCAAACAATATCTTAACTTCATTTATTTCTGTTTTCTTAATTTTGTGGCATTAAATACATTTTGTGATATACATTTTATATCACACAAAGTCAATGACCAGGAGCACACAGGTGGTTTTAATGTGTCCGTGCTCTTGAAGCCACAATAACCATGATTGTTTTTTCAATCATCTTGACAACGTGACAAAACAACATTGCACATAAATGTAAAATTGGTTGACGATCATGCTGCTATTTTATTATAGCCGGGGTAGATTGTAGCCAAGGCTCCAATGAGACTGTAGGACTCTGGGGTGTTCAGACAGATGGATGGTAAAGACGAGGAGGAGTGGGATATAGGGAGGGAGGGAGGGAGGGAGGAAGGGAGGGTAGTGGGGAGTGCAGATCTAATCTGAACTCCAGGAGGACAAACAGAGGTTGCGTTACAAAACCATTTTCATGCGTCACCTTGACAACCGCAGGGCCAGCTATGTCAGAGCACTTCAGCTGATCTTTTTCTCACTTCTTTTTGAAGATGAAGGGGGTTTGTGGAAATGAGATTCTGACTGACTGCATGTTCATCAAACAAGACAAGAAGATTTAGGGCATCAGAGACCCTTGACACAAACCACCGTCACAAAGGTTAAATAGTTTTTATCTCATCTACTGGCTTATTTACTGCAAACACTGTATAGTCTGACAACCCTTTAAAGTAGGTATAAACTGTCAGACAAGTGGAAAATAGCTGAAAGCATCAATAAATAATAATGCTTGAGTGTAAAAAGAAATATTAAGCTTTATACTTTTCCTTTGCCACAAATAGGTTGATAAAATAAAATAAAACTTAATGTTATTTATCTGTCTAGCTCATTTCAACTCAACAACTTCACTTTTTTTCTATTTTTTTATACTTTATATGGAAACCAATGACTACCTGGTTGTGGGGAACAGCATGAAAGTGACATTAAAAAATCTGAAACTGTACAATTCCTACTCTACTTTGTGGGGAAGATAAAACTTGTTAAAACAGCGATGTAGTCATTTAACTGGGGTGTTTCTACAGGTAGTAAAACCACAACAGCAGTGGGACATAAAGGACCTCTTTGTTACTGGGTCATAAAATCACAGGGAGTGGAAACCAGTCGGTACTGGGAGACAGTGAATAAAGCCCCGTATGACTCTACTATCTGGCCTCTGAGTGTTGTTGCTATTAAGAAAGAAAAACAACAACACAGTGTCTTGAATTCCAATTGGTCTCTGTTAATAGAGGTTAAACGAGATGGCACACTGTAAGTCTGGCAAAGATTTGTTGATATAAAAGCCTCCATCGCTAAGGATTAATACCTTGGTTGCATCATTATGGTGACACTAATTGTTTCGGCTCTCTGGATTTTTCAGACATTCACGGCCGTTGCCTTAGATCTGGTCACTGAGGTAATATGTCCTCAAGATTAAACATTCACAGGGAAGGAAGAAAGGGGTGGCGCAGACCTCTCCCTCTCCTCTCTCCCTGTGGCTGGAGTCACTAAAGGGCCAAGTCAAACAGCTGATTCATGTGTCCGACATGAGGAGACCATTTTCATTTGCAGTACTTACAAGGAAAAAGGGTGCGGGGTAGAATCTTAATGCTGCTGGACTCAGACTGATCTCGGGCCAAGGAAACATGGCTGCCAGCTAAGTTTGACTGCGTAATACTCAACGCCTGCTTTGTGCTCTGGCATTTTACACCCAGAATCCCCAGTGTGAACCTCTCCGCTTACCATCCCTCAACCTCACTGCCGACTGAATGTACATGGCCACGTACCAAATTGAATCCTGATTAACGAGCTGGAAATACAACTGTCTGAGTCCCACCTTCATCACTACATCAAGGCCCTGTGTCCCAGACAGGGTGTAAATAAACTGAGGAGTAGGCCTTAAAGGCCCAGTGTGTAACATTTAGGAGGATCTATTGCGGCAGTCTCAAACTCAAATTGGCGTGGGGCCACTGGTGGTCTCATAGGAGGCTGACTTCAACATTCAAGCACTACAAGAAATATTCTGCAAACAGCCGTTTATATACATATTTATATCATCAGTTTAGTATATCATCTTTTATTTTGATTGCATATGAAGATATAGTTTAAATTGATCAATTAGAAAAGATCATTAAAAAATATAATACAATCTTGCAGGACGGATTATATGTTTTAAGCCAGAGGGAGGTAAGGATGGAAGGTCTTTTTTGAGCCCCCTGATTTATTGGCAGATATAGAATATAATATTTATTAGTGTATAATCACCATAAAATAAGAACCACTGTGTTTTCTTACCTTAGAATGATCTGTTTTTATCTGCAGAGGCTTGCATAACAAGTGTAAAAATTGGTTCTATTGACTCTCAGTTCATATCAGTAGATCCTTCAGTGTTAATAGTATAATCAAATTCAACCCTGTAAAATGAGTAAAGGGCAAAATACACACTACTGTTATTCTACTGAAAGCATCAGTTTAACATGCATGTTGGAGGTTGGAGACCCCTGCTGTATACTTTAGGCATAATTTGAATGTTGCAGTTGGTGAAGGGTGGGTAGTTTAATCTATAACAATGCATTAGTTGACTGTTTTTTAATCTTATTCTGCAAAATAACTCATAACTAAAGTTCAAGAGACAGCTTTATGAACCTACAACACCTTATTTTAACCTATGTGTTGTGCTTGGCTGGATCACTGACACAACACACTTGTGGCTCATTTGTGCTGATGGCCCTGTAGACTTCTCATGTGCACTTCTGAAGCCTGAGACGTGACAGGTGAAAACAAACACTGCTTAATACTTGGTTGATGCTGAACCAGCAAGGCCTCATGGGAATGAGCTGTGATGAAAATCAAGGGGGCTTAATTGGGACTGACAAGCCAGCTATGACTCAGCACCACTAGGCCCAAAAAGAGCGCAGCCACAAAGAGGGCTGGTGGAGAGCCGGTTCAGGCCCGAAGCTCCAGTCTGCCTGTCAGCAGGAATGCTGGGGGCCCAAATATACCAAACAGAGAGAGCAGCATACCACACAAACACATCGCATAACAAACACAGCAGTCAGGCTGTAAAGTGTTGTCCAAACCTTATTCCTGTTTGAATGTTGATACACATTCATACAATCAGAGTAACTGATGATATGCCAGAAATTAGATGATATAAGACTAACTAAGGTGTTCACTGTCTAAGTTTAGTGTGTCAGCATGCTAACATTTGCTAATTGGCACTTGAAGGACCAGTGTTTAGGATTTGGTGGCCTCTGGCAGTGAAGTTGCAGACCGCAGCTAGCTCATGTATTTATTTGATGACCTTCGAATGATAATTTGCTGTGATGTGTGCAGGAGAAACTACGGTCGCTGCAAAATTTGCTAAAAAAACGTGACAGGCCCTCGCTACAGCCAGGGTTTGTACGTTTTAGGCTAGACAACATGGCGAAATGCATTGGTGACCACTGTCATCGGTAGTTAAGAATAGCTCATTCTAAGGTAACGAAAACACAATTCCTTTATCCAGGTGCTTACACACTAATGGAAACATACCTATTGATGTTATATTCCATTTCTGCCAGTAGATCTTCCTAAATGTCACAAACTGGACCTTTAACACAGAGGACAGTTGAGGCTGATGTCATTTGTTTTGTGGGTATTTGGTAGTAATTTTTTACTTGATGATGGCGGGAGAGGAAAAAAATAAGGGATCAAGACAGTAATTTCAGTTTATCCTGAGAGGGACATCAATGTGTGTACCAACTTTTAGGCAATCCATCCATGTTGGATTCAGGACAAAACAATTCAAACAGATCCTACTCTTTCACATCCAACAGTTAAAGAGCAGGAGGAAAGCAGAGGAAGACAAAGACATTAACAATGGCCTTGGATGTTAATCCGCTACCAGCTTCCTCTGTTCTGGCTCAATATAATGGACATTATAAGAGACCATTGTAACTGTCATTCTCTGGCATGATGGGTATAATTTGTTTGACAGTCTAATTCTGCTTTCCGAGAAGTCTTTTACTAGGTAGAGTGGATATGATTCATTTGGAGATAAAACAGTTTTTCCAGCCATATACGAGTAAACTCGACCATTGCAGCTCCTTTATTGTGAAAACAAACAGACAAATACTACTTAAGTGACCTTTTTGCTCTTACTGTAAAGTCTAAAATTGGATTAGCCACTGTAACTGTGTTGTCAGTCTTGAACCTTGAAACTAGAAAGAATCAATTCATAAAGGCAATAAAAACCAAACTGTCAAAAGCAATGCATCTCTGCCATGCCAATTCAAGAAAAAGGCCCTTTGTTCTATACAATCTCTTTTCCCATCTCACAGCCAGACACGGGTGTAGAAGTCTCTCCTTCCTGTGTCTGCCTCCTGTTTTTCTTCATGAGACGAGAAAAAGAGCAAAAAATAGAGAAAGAAACAAAATGAGGGAGAGCAAGAGAGGAAAAAGGAGTGCATCAATCAAGTAGCTTCTTACTGCCAACAATGAGCTCAGTCTACTGTGTCCTTTCACACACTGGACTCACTGAGCCGGGGACAAGCAACAATCTGACACAGTTTTTTAAAAACAATTTATTTATTTTGGAAAGAGGGCATGACATATATATATATATAATATATATAAAAGTAAATCATTATATATATATATATATATATATATATATAAACACTGTCATCAAACATACTATTCTTTTCTTGCTGTAAAATAAATTTGATACATTAGACTTTGCACTGCAAGTCCTGTCATGATATATAATCATACATTTACATAATAGATCTCTAAACTAAGTTGTATTCATTTGCTTACCACAGGGTTCTTTATCTCACTTTGTTTTTAATTAAAAATGCATTATTTTCAACACTGAACATATTTTAGCTGCCTTTAACTCGTAGCAGCCCCATAGAAAGTTCTCATATTAGTCTTAAGGCAGCAGTAAGCCCTTTGCCCAGAAAATCACTCAATACTGGACTTGTTGTCTGAACCCTGGGATAAACAAAGTCGTCGTCTGGGTTGAAAAGGGAACTCCGAAATCCAGCACTGGCTCCGATTCTGCTCGTCTTTGGCTCACACACACCCTTTAATTAAATTACAGTAACACTGAGATCACGCACTCATGTGCAGTTACTTTTATAAGCTAAGCCTTTAAATGTTTCATTCATGAGACCTTGTTGATGCGGCCAAATGATGCAAGGTTTCCGTAACCTGTCAGGTAATACTGTCATCTAAATGTATAGCTAAGGATGTGTGGAAAGTTTTTTTTTGAGCTGCAACAAGAACCAGGCAGCCAGAGTTAGTTTTCCACCCATTTTTCATTTATAAACCCCAAATTCTGTAATGTCTGCAAAACCAGCTGCTTTCAATGCTTTACTTTTAACGGCACAATGTCCTGAAAGTATCATTAGATTTGACACAGTCTAAATATAAAAAATATATTTATACATATATATTTGCTTATAAAATCTAATTGGAATGGACATGGGGATATAAATAAAAATTAAAACAAAAATTCACATTTTAAGTAAAAAAAAAAAAAAAAAACAATCAATCAAATTTGGTAAAGAGAACAAAAAAACCCCCACAACATTCATTTTACATAAAAGTGCATCTGAATTTAAATTGATCCTTAAGCTAAGGCTTCTCAGTCAGGGATGTTTGGGCCAGACACACATTAACAGGAACATTAACGAAAAATCACTTCCAAATTAAGGCCTTTAGTTTTCAAACCATAAAAAAAAACATAATCTGCTTCACTTTCACTCACCAACTGACACCACAGCATGATATTTTATCTGCCTCTTTTTTTGGCACTTTGTTGGCAGAAAACACCTGTGATACTGAAGAGCTACAGGATGAGGATGGAAGAAGTCACACTGAGGCGAACGGTAGAAGAAGACTTTGATTTAGAAAGAAAAATCCCTCAGCTACAGTTGTTGTTGTATGTCCTACTCATGATTTAATATGAGCGGATTATTCGATTCAAATAACTAGATAGTACTGAAATGTGCTGATTCTTTTAATTGCCCTGAATGCATTGAGGCAGCAGACTGAACTAGTTAGCTTTATACGTAGAAGGACAGCAATAGTGATAACGATAGTCGAGGGAGGGTTTTTGAGAAAAATTAGGAGTCTTATCTCTGAATTAGATCAGGTATCGTAGCTGCAAAGCCCCAGTTTGTGCATCTCGTGTATTACAACTACATTCAAGTCACATTTACATTTGTTTCTCTCAAAAATAAATATAAATCTTTACAAAAACCCAGCAGGTCATTCAACAGAACTTACTGCAGCTCTAAGGGTTTCCAGAGTCCTCAAAAACAAATACTCAATTCGACCAGTTTCTCAAGTTGCATCTCTGTTTCCTATTCCAAAGAAAAAAAGACGGTAGTCTGAATGGCCTTGCTGAATTTATACAATGTGAACAAAATTGAAAACATGTTGTCATCGGTTATATTTTTCTACAGCTGCAACTTGAGTAACATGTTAAAAATCCTTTTTGTTGCACTGAATGTTTCTATTCATCCAGATGATTAGAAGACTCTTTGAGGGTTTTGGAAATACCCTCAGAACAACAACAGTGCAACAGTGTTTACATTACTTTCTTCATCCACATTTATTTTTCAGAGACACAGATTCTTGCCACTGTGACCTGACACTAATACATCAGAGGTACAAACTGGGGCTTGTAGCTGCCGTGCATCATGGTCTATGGTAGTGTTAGTGGAGAAATGTGTGTATTTAGCTCTTATTATTACGTCAAAAAGTGTCTTAATTCTGACGGGCTGAAACCAAAACAAGTCTGTGTCTATCTTATATTGATGTTGGACGTTATGCTGCATCACCTCAGCTGTGTATCACCTAATACACAACCATGTGGTCAGAAATGCAAAGTGCATCACAAATAGCTTTTAACAGAGTTATAGGGTTAAGGGTGGAGTTTTTTTGTTTAATGCATGACAGAGATAAGGTGGGAAAACAAAAGAGAACAATGCTTTTCCATTAACACTGTTGTGTATGAGTGGTGTTCAACATTTGCTGGGCAAACTTGAGCTTTAGGCCTGCTGTAGCTTTAAAATAGTACTCGGCTAAATGTTTAAAGGTCAAACACTTGAGGGCTTTCTGGCATTTCTCATGACTGCCCAACAAGTGAATGTAAACACAAAAGAGGAGCCTTTATGAAGACACAACTGGTGTGACATGAATGATGCTGCTTTGCAGTGCATCATTTGTGTTTTGTGTGTGTGTGTGTGTGTGTGTGTGTGTGTGTGTGTGTGTGTGTGTGTGTGTGTGTATCTGTGTATATCTGAGAAGGAACAGCAGCCTACCAGATACTTAATCTGTGTTTTGTTTCCCCCTGGTGGCAACTCTTGTAAGAGCATGTACTGGCATTGGTTTTCAAGACATTGATGACTCCTGTTGTCCAACTGTCTGTTATTTGGATTTGTGAGAGGAGCATAAATCATCTTGAAGCATCTGAATGGTGGCAGAGGGTTTAATACCAACTTCTAGACCAGTTCTTTGTCCAGATTTCTGCTATGGAGGGGTTTCGAGGAAGCTACAGATACTGCTGAGGCTACTGTGCCACTCTGTGCGTTAAGTTCAGAAACCAGGCAGGTTTCAGCACAGAATCTGGGAGAAGGGATGTCTGAGCAGCTCCTCAGCACTGGGCCTGTGTTTGGCCTCCACAAAAATGCAGCTCATGAAGTCCCGAGCCTGGTCGGAGGTGTGCGAGGGCAGCAGTGGGTTGGTGGGCTGGGTGGCGATCTTGAATATGGCCGCCATGGCCTCGTATTCAGCCCATGGAGGCTTTTCTGTCAGCATCTCCACCACCGTACATCCAAGGCTCCTGTAAAAGAAAGTGCCAGAACAAGCTGAAACAAATACCACATATTATGTCTCAGCTGCTCGACACTAAAGCTTTAAAGGAATGTTTTAAGTTTCACAGTCGCTGGCTTCAGAGGGCCTCCTCCACCTGCACAGGAGGTACAAGCCCTTCTGGGAGCAGTACTCCCCCTCCAGCCTGGGCTGAGAACCTGGAACATACCAACCTCTGTTACGACCTGTCTGACTGGCCTTCAGCCAATCACATCACTGGCCTGGTAGGTCAACACCCAATCAGATTGCATAAAGGAATGTGTGTGGGAGTGTAGTAGGAACTTGGTTACATACAGAAGGCTCCTCTGAGAGTACTAACACATTGGTGTTTCCCTTTTTCACATTTACATGCCTTTTCCCGTATTGTTATATATGTATATCCCTTATATTGTTAAATAAAGGTATTTCTACCCAGTATATGTACAAAACTTTTGTCCCCATTTCAAACTTTCAACTATTTTTGCTGGAGCATGTCCTGTAAAGCAGACTTGTATACAGGTATTTGTCATTTTCATGAAGTCTCCACTGTTTGTGACACTAGATTGTCAGAGTAGGTACATTAGTTTACTTCTAAATCACATTAAGAATCAAGATTTATAAGCCTAAAGCAGCGGTACTCAAACTGTGGGGCAGGCCCTGGCATAGAGCCACTGCAGGTGGGGCGCGGATGACCAGAGGAAAAAATATGTAGTGGAACACAGTTGAATGAATATGATTTATGTAGGAAAAATAAACAAGTAGTTTTGGTTCCCCATTGCTAGCGATTGCTAAAAATAGTGGGTTGTGAGGCGGGAACTTTTTTTGACTTCTGAAGGAGGGCAGAGAACCAGCGGTCTACAGTAATCCATTTAAATGCTCTTTTGAACATGTTGATACATCGGTAAAATCTGCTCTAGTGCTTCTACTAGGTGATTAAGGCATGTATTCTTCCAGTCACTCAAAGTACATGACAATATGTATGAATACACTATTGCGATGTCAGCCTCTTATTATCAAATAAGTTTCCGAAAGAAGGCAAAAACAGGAACATCTACACTTAAAATCTAAATCAATTCACACAGGATTCTTATTCTTGGAATTTCAACTAATAATAAATTAGCTCAAGCATCAATCTGTATAAACTAGGATCAAACTTTAAACCAGTCTGCTGTGTTCAAGTCTTACCAGACATCAGCCTTCCTGCCGTAGCCCTCTCCACTGATCACTTCCGGGCTCATCCAGTAGGGGGTGCCGGTCACAGAGCGGATGCCGGTGCCAGACATGCAGATGGTCTGGAGCCTCTTGCTGGCACCGAAATCTCCAAGCTTCACATTGCCCTCTGAATCCCGCAGGATGTTGGCACCTGAGAGCCAGAGTTGACATGGAACATGTAAATATTTATCTCATCAATAACCTTCTACATGATGTGAAACACAAACATTTATATATTATAACACTGTCTAAACATTTATGTAGTGTCCAAAATAGTACATTACTCAAGCCCGTGTAGTTTTAACAGGACTACCTTTGATGTCCCGGTGTACAATCATGTTGCTGTGCAGATAGGACATGCCCTCCAGGATCTGTCTTGTGTACTTCCGGGTCACATTTTCTGTCAGCGCCCCATAGGCCTTCAGCTGGTCTTTGACTGAACCCTGATAGGAAGAAAGCACATGCCTTACAGTCTGTTGCCTAAAGACATGAGTGCAACAACACACAGATTGTGAACACATGCAAGGTTTAAGACCACTAATCTACCCCATCGCCAAAGGTCTGAGCCAGGAACATAGGAAGTATAGGAGCCAAGCAAATATCTGGCACTTTAAAGATGTCTGTGATGCATTCAAAGCAGGAGCTATGTAATAGGCCTTTTTGACCAAGTAGTGCCAGATACTAAGGATTCCCAGGAACTAAACACAAAATCTAAATCAGGGACTCAAACTTTCTTTGTTGCATTTGTGTTCGCATATTCACTGCATCTGAAAAACTGCAGTAATTAGGGAAAATAGACTGCTAAAAAGAGACAAAGCAGCCCTGATCCGCTCTGTGAGTAAAAATTTGTGGACCCCAGGACCTCAGAAAAACTGTCTGACTACTGACTGACTGTACAACATCAGTGTGTGTTTTTTCTGGTTCTTTTTCTGCTTTAGTACATAACTTCATCTTCCACTGTCTCTTTAGCTCGCATGTTTTTTGTCAGGAAGTTGGCTACACAGCCACGGCCCTAAAATTGAAACAAGGTTACTGAAGTTCCTAAAAGGGTTCCTGGATTATTCCTCATATACAAACCATGGACATAATTAGAGAAAACATGCCAAACCACTTTTCTGATTGCATGATATTATTTATATCACCAACTTGATATTAAATCAAAATGTTAAGTCATGGGAACTGATAGTTGTCCTTTGTTTACTTTTCTCCTTTATATGTATCTTATGTGTCAGGCTTTGTTACCAGAATTTAAAGGACCAGCATGTAAGATTTAGTGGCATTTAGTGGTTAAGTTGCAGATAGCAAACAACTGAATACAGCTCAGCCTTGAAAGTGTGTAGGAGAAACTATGGTAGCTGCAAACCTCAGACTCCGTAGAAGAGGACCCACTCCCTCTGTAGATAAAAACAGCTCATTCTAAGGCAACAAAAACCCAACGATTCCTATATTCTTACACATGTTATGGAATTAATTTCGAGGTTTCAACAACCATTGCTCTGAGCCTTTTGCATAAAGTTGCTGGGACTCACCCCCGGCATGTACTCCATGAAAATAGTGAGGGTCTTCTCATTGTGGTCCCTCAGACAGCCGTAGTACTGAACAATGCGCTCGTGATGCAGATTTTTCAGCAACTGGATTTCGCACTCCAAAGCGCTGACCTCCTGTACAGACACAAAAAGAAGTAGGGAAATTACACAGTACAAGATTCAAACGGCTGCTCAGGGATTAAACATAAAAACAGTCATTTCTAAACAATGCATCTTGATTTACTGTTTTCATTTGCAAATAAATTGCATTTTTCAGACATGGCGGTGCCCTTCAGGCTCTGTCATATCTGTTACCACTGATGACAAACGATTGAACAATAAACACAGGGATAACAAACAGTGATTTATGAGTGCATGTGAAGTCAGCCAAAAGTGAAACCTAAAGCAGAGAGTAAACGAAAACCAAGAGCACAGTTCCCCAAAAGAAGTTCCTGTGTTTACTTCAGAGAATGAGGCCACAAAAGAGAGAGATACAGAGAGAGAGAGAGAGAGAGAAAGAGACATAGAGAGAGATACAGAGAGAGAGAGAGAGAGAGAGAGAGAGAGAGAGAGAGAGAGAGAGAGAGAGAGAGAGACAGAGATACAGAGAGAGAGAGAGAGAGATACAGAGAGAGAGAGAGAGAGAGAGAAAGAAAGAGACAGAGAGAGACAGAGAGAGTGAGTTAAGATTGCACAAAGTAATTAATCCCCAAGTCCCACCACAGAAGCTGGTTTAATAGAAACAACTGATTCACATCTGCTAAAAGCTGGGGGTGGGAGTGCGAAGGCAGTGCTGACCCATCACCCCTCACCACCACCGCTCCTCCCACAACCCTCTGCTTCTTTCTGATACAGGAAGTGACAGTGCATGTTTTCTCTGTTGAAGACAGGAAAAGACATTAAAATGGGGAAGAGGGTCTGAAGGAGGAAAGAAAGCCTCTTCCATATATTTCACTTCTTGAATTATTAAATTTCCTTCCTGATTGATTATTTTATTTCTGTGTCCAGGGGATGCAATAAAGTTTTCGTGGATCAACTCCTGAACTAAGAGCAGATGTGTCTTTAAGACACTTGATTCATTTATGCCAACTACCTGCATTCCAGCATAGCCTGAAAACATCAACAGGCGCAGCATATGAGGTAATTCTTGGCACTTTTACAGTGCCAGAATTAATAATAAAACTAAGGTTTGATATTTTACAAAACACTGTTACCATTCACAAGTTATATTGTAAAAGTGAGGAGGAAATGGCACAATTTCCTGCATTTTAATGTCTACATGCACATGCAATGTCAGCAAAGCAAACAATATTTCTTCACAGCTGAAGCAGTAACAAGAGGTAGCATGCCATAAACAACAGCGGAAATGTTCTCAACAGGACCAGAAAGAGAAAAGAGGAAGGAACGAGACAACCAAGCATTCTGTTTCTGTGAAGACGTGAGAAGCTGGACTATGCATGTTAGTGTCTCACCTTGCTGGTCTCAGGACTCTCAGGATCAAACTGGACCTGCTTGGCAGCCAGCTCCCTCCCAGTATCCACATCGTAACACAGGTAAACCCGACCGAACGCTCCCTGGCCCAGAAGCTTCCCCCGTCGCCACGTCATGGGAGCACTGGGTGCTGAAACGTGACAAAGTGAAACGCAAATCAAAGTTTCCTCCAGCTTGCAGGTTTTGTAGACCTATCTCTGTAGTGGATGCACAAAATTGATCTGTCTTCTTACAGTATCTGACTCTGGATAAGAAAGCAAACAATTTCAAATTCTTCCTTTAACCTGAACTTATATCATATGACTAATATAAATCATTTTACATAGGGAGCTTTGGTATTAGTCCTTGAACCCTGCAATGTATCTCTTAACAATTGATGTCATCCTAACAAGTAAAGTGTATTTTCTAAAGGATGTTTGGTTTAGAGTTGCTCTAGATCAACACTTACACTTATGGGCGACAGAGCGATCTTGGGGACGGAGCCTTCCCTGAGCATCGACCAGCTGCCAGCTGCCCAGACTCTCCTCGCTGCCGTTGAGCGACCTCCGTGAGGGCACCAGAGTAAAGAGGTTCCCCTGGGGGCGGCGAATCCGTGGAAAGGTTCGACGGCCTGAAGGAGAGCAGGAAAAGAGGCCAGCTGAGGTTAATATCCCATGATGAACAAGAGAGATTATTGGGCGGGGGGCATATTAAAAGAGAAAGCATAAGAAACTAGGTACATAGAGAAAATATACTAACTGTCTTACCTTCACTGTGGTCCTTATGATGCAGGGAGACATGATATCTGCGGGGATAGGTGCCTCCTTTCCCCGCTACCCTGTCATACACATGATTCTCCCTGTCTGAAAGCAAATATCCAAAGGTCAAACCTCATTACTCTGTAATTCAACCACACTGCGGTCACAGTCACACGACATCCATATCAGCTGCTTTATTACTCTCCCATGTAGCTCATACTTCTGAGGTCACTAACAAGCAAGCACCGACTATCAAGAGACGTATTTATCAAATGGCTGATATTGCAGTGTTTGGTTGCTGTAAACGCATCTCTCACAACTTACAGCCACAATCTTTCCACCATTGTGCCTGTCACAATTCTTTATGCCATAAGATGCGAGTGTGCTGCTTTAACACAAATATTTACCCATGATTACTGGGAAAGTTACAGGCTGGAAGGAGCTTTTCTTGCAGCTGCTCTCACCTGAGCACTCCTGACGATTATCGGGGTAACTCTTGGCTCTGTGCATGCGAGACTTCCTCAGTGAGGGGCTGTCAGAGAGGAGAAGGGAGGAAGGAAGACGAGTGAGGGATGGAGAGAAGCTTCCTTAGGCGTGGAGAGACTGTATTTTGGTGTTTACATACACACATACATACATACATACATACATACATACAGGTTATAGTTATTTAAATTTTGCAAACAGAAATGATTGTATTAGAAGCAGCGAAGGACTACAGTGGAAAATAATAAAATATGAAATAAGTAGTGAGTTTTTGGTAGGCTGTATTAACTATCAGTGTTATTTTTGAACAGGCAGAATTTGTTCCTCACCTGTCTGAGTTGCTGTCCAGAGACTGACAGCTTCCAGAGACAGAGTTTTCTGCACTGCTCCAAGGATCCAGCACCTATAGTGGGCACAAAGGAAAATTAAGGGTGTGTATCCACATTTATATTTAAAAACTTCTGGAGCAAGAACACAATATTTATACGCTGGCGATGCAACTGTAGCTATAGATTACTCTGGGGACTCAATGAATGCTTTGTTTGTATGTAACTTCCTACACTTACCATTCCTACCTAAAATGTACCCCAAATGCCTGAAAACCAGGTAAGATCATTTCCAAGTGTGAATAAAACTTCTATTAATGAGGAAAATAACTTTCAAAATGAGAAAAGGGTCTTCATTCAAGCAGTGAGGAAGAGTTGTTTATGTGATCAAATCTCATAAACACATGGTTTGTATTTTAAGGTGGATTTTCCCCGTTAATAGTGAAGCAATGACTCACACACTGATCGTTGGTCTCTGGGATGAACTCCCCCTCGCTGTTTATGCTGGTGTATGAACCTTGGCGGGCGATCCTCTGCTGGCGTTCAGGCACATAACCAGGGGGCGGCGAGCTACGCCCCGTGTTCTGAGAACCTGGTATTATACAGCAATTATGGGCATAAAGGAAACATTAGATATATGGAAAGTAAGCATTTGAAAAATACATGAAAATGTCAGCAGCAATGTGCTTTGAGGACATAAATTGATATTGTTGGAAAACTACTTTGCATAATTTTGTTAACTAAATCAGGGCCTGATCATCAGTGTTGAGTTTTATTTTTTAGAGGCAGCACAAAAGCAACCATAAAGAGACTCAAACTTAAAGACAAATGCATGCAATAACTTTTGTGACACTGTAAAGAAATAAAATAAAATATTCAGCGAGGCCCTCTCTTCCTCATGTGCTACAAAGATAAAGAAAACAACAAATGGAAGTGTGATTGCTTTCTGACTGAGGCAACGGCTGAGAGCTGGATTTAATATTTATGGCCTGGCGCTGTCAAAGTCCAGCTCTCAAGCCCTCCTGCAGCCACTTCACCCCCCCCCCAACTCCCGGGGAAAAAACCCTAAACCAGGCCACTGGTCCACCACACTAATAGCATTGTGTAATCTGATTGGCTGCTGTCCAGTAGGCATCGTCTAGTGATGGTGAACAGGAAAAGGAAGAGGACCCATTGCTAAAAGGGGAAGCCAAAGAAAGAACAGCCAGAGAGAGAAGGCGACTGACAGGGAGATCGAGGTAGTAAAGAAGAAGTGGCAAAGGCACGACGACATGCCAGCTACCCATAACTGAATATTAAATAAATGCTGAGGTTTGGGAAACATAACGTGTCTATGATTCCTCAGTGTGTGAACCATCTTGTTGTAGATAAGATTAGACAGAACTCTGAAGGACAGTTGTAAATATGTACCAGTTGATAAGTGGCGCCCCCTGGGCTCGGAGGATTGATACACCGTGCTAACATCTCCCGTGGACTGGGCGGATTTGATCCTCACTTGCTTACACGGCACATGATGGGAGGGGGAGGAGGCCTATATTTGGAAAGACGGGAGAACAGGAGGTTTAGACAAGGCTTTAACACATGATGGAACAGACGCTCTATGTCAGCAAGCCAGTTAGTGTGATGTAAATGTAATGAGGAAATTAGATTTTTCACAACACGGCTCTATGTTGAAGAAATGGCAGTGTTGCAATGGTACACTGTAGACACATGTCAGTTGTGTGTGTGTGTGTGTGTGTGTGTGTGTGTGTGTCTCTCACATTGCTGTTTTCCTGTGTGAGCAGCAGAATCCTGATGCTCTTCATGTTGGAGCTTCTGTCCAGCAGGTCGATTGCTTTGTCCAGGTCATCCTGATCTCGCAGAGGGATGGACAACTACCAGGATACAAGACAAAAACGCACACACACACACACACACACACACACACACACACACACACACACATACAAAATCAACTATATGAACAAGCACATACCAAGATTCACAAGCATATAAAGGCTTTTTTTAAAATCAAAAGGATTTATTGCTTCTCAAATGTAGACTTCCTGCTGAGGGCAGAATGAGTAGGGGAAAGATGGGTGGTGATACAGTACACGAGTCTCCACTTTTTACCTCATTGTTCATATAATGCAGGTCTAACTGCTGGCCAAAGACAGTCTTGACTTTCTGCTGGATTTCCTCGAACTGCACAGGTCGTCCAAACATCAGGATCCTGCACACGGACAGACAGATTATGAGAGATTTGTACTGGCTGCTAAGGAAGCTGCTTTTGAGCTACATGCACACGTGCAAGAAGAATCCACACAAGCTGCTGCTGTTTTTAGTGTGTGCAGATTCCTCTAAGAACACCTTGCATATTTGTGGCTTGTGCTGGCAGCCACACATTAACCACAGTCCTTTCCAGTTACATTCTCCAGCTCACATACCAGTCGGAATTAAGTGTGTGTTTGACTCCGAGATGTGCTCTCTCTCATGAACTGGAACATGTGAGGAGAACAGCATGCCTGAGTGAGTGTGTTTATGTCTCTGTGAGTTTATGCCCTCACTCACTTGCGATAGATATACACATGTATGTATATAAAAAGCACACACACACAAATGTTAGGAAAAAAACCCCACAGAAAGCAAACTCACCTCCTCTCTCCTGAGAATTCAAACTTCATCCTGACATCGTCCTGAGAGTAAACAGAAACAGCAACATCAAAGAGGTGTAATAAGAAAGGCTGTGCTGATATTTTATTGTACAATATATGGCAATTATTATAACCTTAACAAAATAAAGGACCATCATAACTGTCAGAGATTTGATTTTCCCATAAAGAAAAGAGTTAAAGACTGACTCGAACACTCACTTCACCCGGCTGTTTGCTGGGAAGACGTATCACTCCACTCTGTCCCGCCGCCATTGCTACATAATTTGTGAAAACCCACTTCCACTCATCACAAGTCCAAAATAAGTTACTGAGGTGGGAAAACGGTGGAGACTGACTTTCCCAGGGGGACAATCTCTGGTTTTAAGCAAACACTACACTGCACATGAGTTGTCTGCTTTGACTATTCTTTGTGGCTGCAGTTGTGGTAGAAAGCAAAGGTGGGTGGGCTACTGGCGACTTTCCCACACGAGCAGAATATATTCTTAGTGAGGACGTTGAAAATAACTGGAATTAATACATTTCAGATGTAGTATAGGTGTGGGTGGCTATCTTAGTAATCTGTCTGTCATTATGCTAAACTAGCTAACTGTGTGGCCTAGGGGAAATAATGTAATAAAACAAGAGTATACCTACATCGATGATACCCGATTACACAGTTCTTTATTACAGCAGTGGTCCGACATTTTAGCTCTATGGTCATGGGGGGGAAATTATTTTTTATTTTGTCAGCATTTAAGGCCCTCCTGGCTTCTAAATCCAGTGTCATTTACACCAAACACTACTTAAAGACTTTCTCGGCCAAATCTCACCCTGTGTGTTTAGTTTACCTCCACAGTGATGCAAACATGTACAAATGTACGGTGCAGAATTGCTGGATTTCTCATTTAGTTCAGCAAATTTATTGCCACACGTCTGTTCATGGAGACAGACATTTGTGGGGTTGAACCAGGGAGCTTAGGGTTTCAGGGTCTAGCTAAACACAAGGCTGCATTGCTTCTTTAAAACTACACTACTGAAACTTTAAATGTATTTCTTTCATTTAAAAAAAAAAACTTTTGTTTAAGCAAGGAACCAAGATGTTTGAGCTACAGCTGACAACAAAATCAAAGATTATTTAAATGTAACTGTGACTTATGTGAAGCCTGGATAATAACCAAGGTATTACCCCGTCACTCAGCACCATTTCCATTATTCCTGGGTTTAAATCCTGGTTCATGAGGAAAGTTTTACACAAGCTTGAGCTTTTCAAACCATCTGTTTTCTGAAACGTTCAATATGTGATGATGCAGCAATAGCGCACCTGTCTGTTGGCCTGGGCTGGTGTCTTGGGCTTGCCGCTGTCATACGACAACACAGGCTGGCGCCGCGTCATTTGGAGGGCAACCAGGTCCTTCATTATAGAGTGGAGAGCCTGCCTCTCATCTGAAGAGGATAATGGGTTGGAAAAAATACACAATTAAGAGCGTGAAATGGATGGCTATTGGGTGTGTGTATGACAGAAAGAGAGAGATATGAGCCCATTGCACTTCATTCTACACTAAAAGGTGTGTGCAGACAATTAGTCAGTCATCTTTAACTACAGCCATATGGAGACTATCCTGTGACAGGGTATTAGAAGCAGGGAAGGACTGCAGTGTTTTTGATTTGCCTATTCCCATGTTTGATCTCAGGGAAAGCTCTGCTTTGGCTTGACTAGCTCACGAAGAGAAAATATTCTCCTTGTGTAGCTTGGACAGACATCATAAAGCCCCGGGGCAGCAGAAAGAACCAGACCCCCATCTCCACAACACCGAAAACCAATCCTTCACCCGACAGTGTCTGGGGCAGAAGCTTGTACAGGCTTTGGCCTCAGGGAGGGTGTTTGGTGCGACTGTGTGTGTCTGCTTTTATCTCACGCTGTGAAAAAACCAAGCTCTAAACGTCTGTCTAACATCAGAATTTAAAAGACTTACTCATTGTAACGATGTTTGCGTATGTGGTCTGGTCTTTAGAAATGTGCCTCTGCTGTGCCAACCCACCCGCAGCCTGTGGTGATAAAAACAGAAATTAATTAGCGATAAGGAAAGGCATGGAATAACTGAGGTTGGCACTGTTTTGTTAATATTTTTTGCTTGGAGACAGAGCAGAAGGATGTGAGTCATTGAGTCAGACAGGAGATGACATATGACAAAGGTTATCAGCCAGTCTCACAAAACTTGTCAGTATGCAAGTACCTCAGCCCATAAAACATCACCAGGAGGCTAAAAGAAAAAGGAAATCACAGTATGAAACCTTAAGGCTGACATGACAAAGTGACTGTACTGCAGCAATATTATGGCATCTAAGTAATTGCATTACACTATAGAGTGTTTTAATGGGACAATAAACTGTGAACCTAAACCCTTCTTCATGCATAATTCCTTGCATGCATGTAAAAAAAAATGTAACCTGAGCCGACAGACCTAAAGATTTCTCTGACTGGTGAATGAGAAAGTGTGCAGTGCATGCGAGAATGTGCGTTTGTGTTTTGCCCATGAGAAAGAATGACAATTGGAAACGGCTGAAATTCAAGCTGCACTGGCAGCGATCAGTCTGGCAGAGTTCATATGGGAAGAATGCTTTTTATGGGGAGTTTTCTGCCATTTTAAATGTCTACCAGCTTTAAACTTTCCCTGATTGCACGAGCTGCAAAAAACCCAAACTCAGCTATGCTATAACTCCATTGTTGGTGTTAACAGGCCAATATTATCTGCACAGTTCAAGGCGTCAACAGCATTATAAACTGAGACATTTCCTTCAATGGAGAGGGTTTCCCCAAAGTTGTACCAATAAACCACAGAATTTAAACTAATTCAACAAAAGAGAACAAAAACTCTGACGTCCTTAAACACAAACAGTTCTCACAATTATAGTTGACTTTCCACTTCTAACAAAAGCTAAAAAAAGGTAACAGGGATGCACTGATCTGACTTTTTCTCTCTTGAATCTAGTCGCTCGACTCAGGTATCTGCTGACACTGAAGTTGATCCGATACCAGAGCTCTCTTTTTCAAACATTTAAAACGTGTTTATCTCACTGCATGAAACTCCTTGGGATCATTTTTATGCACAGTAACTTGAATCCAGGGATTGCTGTGGTGCTTAAAGCCGATTAGGCGGCCCATTGTGACCGAATGGATGTCACATACGTTGATAAAGAAACTGTATATAATGTGGATCTGTCATGTCTGGCTGCTTAATCCACTTAATAAGATCAATATCACTATCATTTTTAGGGCACAGCATATGTTTAAAGTGTGCCAGGATGATAACTACATGTTTGGTTTGACCATTAGTCCATTATATATATACGTATATCTGTTAAATTGGTAAGCCACATTGTGTCACGACAAATAAGATTGCCAAATTGCAAATCAGTACTGTCCCATGACTCATCTAAAAAGAGAGAGTTCTCTATCAACCCAGCAAGTGCTTCACCTTGCTAAGAAATATACCGTGGCAAATCAACCCATGTACACTGGTTCTGTGGTTAAGACAGGACAAAGGAATACTGGGATACCGGGATGAACAGTGTCTGAGGATGGATCCTACAGAAGAGGTTGCAACTGTCTTCCTCAGGGTAGAGTTGCGCAGTCAGAACGCTGTCTGAGACGAAAACTCGGATGCGGATGGTTTATGAAAAGGGCAGCATTGGCACCTGAGGCAACTCATTGACTCTGTGGATTTCTGGGTAATAATCACCCACAGGAATGCCGGGCATGTCCGTCCGCGGTCGGCGGAGCGTTGCCACGTTGCTTTCAAGCTTCCGCCACTCTCATGTTCCCTGCCAACGAAATAGATGCCAAAGACTTGTGTCCTTCAACGCTTCAAACCTCATACTCAAGTTATGCCATTTTATCCCCAACTAAATAACAGAGTTTATGAACTGTGAAATCCCCCCCAAGAGTCACATGGATGTACAGTCACTTGAGGACACTCCATTATCTTCTCTCCACCCACAAAATGTTCTCCACAGAGACTAGTAAAGGTTCTGGATCTGGAGAGAAAAACTCAAAAATGTGCACCTCCAGGGGTCCTTGTAGTCAGCAACACAGCAACTAACATCTCTGTCTATTTCCCCAGCTACCCTCTTCTCTCTCTCTCTCTCTCTCCAGCTTCTCCTGATTTTAATTACCTCCCAAGTGGAATGCAGAGAATTCAATGGAGAAGGAGGCTGCACTCTACCAGTCCAGTCAGCTGTGCCCGCTTTATTTTCCTTGTATCACATTTCTAGGACTAGGAGGATTTACATGGATTTTCCTCCCCCCTCTCTTCTCTGTCTGCTTTGAGAGGTGTTTAGTCTGAGGCTGTTTTTCCCAGCCACAGTTCTTACTCTGTCTCTGGCCAGTGTTGCATCTGGACTCACTGCTTCACAGCAAAATCCCCTGGCTTGATGTCTCTCCTGTTTCAGGTGCACATGTGTTTTTGGGTTCAGAGTAAGCCACCACATTTGAATATTGCAACCTCAACAAGACGCGTGTGCTTGCCTTGGCTAAAGTTTCAAAAGCCCTTTTGTGGTGTTTTAGTACAAACGTACAGATATATTCAAATAGAAATTTCAGAAGATAAGCCTATGCGCAATCTCAAGGTACATACACATTATGACTGCTCATTCTGCACGTCCAGATAACAATATGCAAAGGTCAAAGAAAAGTTAATAAAGTTTAAAGAGAAGGGATATCTGTGGCCCACACATGCGTGATCTTTCAGTATACAGGTGTTGACCACAAAGAGCCAAATATATTTTGTCAGCAAAAGAAGGGTGGCCATTACAACCCATGACAGTATCACACGAAAATACCCATTTCAAACAAGGATTTTGCAGCTCTATTCACACATTTGAGACACATTTTTACATCACACATGATTAATCTATCCATTTATAGGTTGTATCCAACAGAAATGAGTAGAGCTGAGGTAATACCACCACAATTCACGCACAATATTGCAAAAATTAAACTGCTTTGTCTCCAAGTTCAGTCAGAAATCCATGCAGATTTCATGAGTTAGAGGGGAGATTGGTAGTGTGCAGTATTAAAGGATAGTATGGGTTTTATAACAAGTAGACATTGCTTCCCTCTTCTTCTATTTACACAAAACAATCACACGAACATACCCAGCAGTTCACTTTCCCCGAAAGCCAGTTGCTTATACTGTACTTCCACACATTTGGTGCTGCATTCATGTAACATGGGAATAACTGTAGTAACAACAATGTAATGACTAAAAGCAATGTCTCACTGTATGTACAGATTGTACATCTACAGATAAAACCTGTTTTTGGTGTACGGACTAACATTAAACAACAACTTGAACTAAGTTATTAATATTTTCTGGTGTGGTTGAAGGTTTGTTTACATCAGTAATGCTTGTAAACACAGCTGGCCTATATTTTCTATCAGCTGACAAACACAGATGTGCTAATTAAGCAAAAACCCTTCAAGTATGCACGATTATATCCGTAATGTGTTTCCATGGACTTGAGTTGTTCTGATCCACAACTAGCTCTCTACTTGTTTCTAAGTATTTCTTTATTACATCTTTCCTTTGCTGCTCTGAAACTCTAGTTCATAGGCTGACTTTCTTTCCCTCCAATGATGCTTCATGTACCAGGAGGACTGCTGTTAAAGCACCAGGCATAAGTCACTTCAAACCCATATTCAATTACTTAATCATACAAGCATGCAAGAGAATCCAAGCTCAGCTCAACTGTCCGTGTGTAAATAAATGTAAATAAACTCATTATACAGGGTAGAGCTACCTGACAGTCTAGATTAAATGTACTTTTTCTAAGAAAGGCAATTAAAATACTGACACTGAACACTGAAATCATGTCCCCTGGATTTTTCAGGAGAACTTGAGGGCTTTAACAACTACAGCTTTATTTAAATGTATATATCATATAAATAGATTTATACTTGAGCAATTTGAGGCCAATACAATTTTTGAATGATTTAATACCTTCACGTCGGGAAATTAATTTTCTAAATAACTTTTTGGATCCTTGTTTTCAAGCAGAAAACTCGTAATTACAAGTTTTTCCAAATTACCTGAATGCAGCATATCACATATACCTGTCTTGTCAATCGCTGTCACGTGCACAAACCCTCACCTGTCGCCTTGACGACCTTGGTCGGGACAACACCTGGGGGCTTCTCCCCTCCCCCCTCTCTCTCTCTCTCTCTCTCTCTCGTGGAGCCGACTCCGGTCACCGGTGTCTCGCGGCAGAGATGACGCAGTAGGTCCAGCCGTAGCTCACGTCCATCGGTGCCTCAGTCAGACCACGACCCCGGGGAGTGTGCGTGAATGTGGGGGCGCCATGGCGGGGCTGACCCCCCCAGGTAACAGGGGCTCTTCTTTTTCAGCGGAAAAAAATGAAAGCAGCCACACACACACACACACACACACACACTAAGGGACACTTTTTCCAGGTTGTAGAAAAACAACAAAACACGCACCAGACAGCTGTGAGTTTTTTTTTTTTTTTTTTTAAAGAGAAATAGTTCCGATGGAAAATCCTACATCAGACTGCTCCATCTGTGCTCCCCCCCCGCCCCCCCTGCAGCCTCTGGATTCTTCTTTTTCTTTTTGGAAAACTTACATTTCCAAAACATTTTCAGAGGTCACATTCAACAACAACGCGTGGAGCTGTTTCCCCTATAATGATAAAAAAAAAAAAAAAAAAAAAAGAGCCCCCCTACCTAAACAAGGTGTAACAATAACCGTGTGGCCTGTATGAAATCCATTTGTGAGTATCAGCTCGCCAGAGGAGGAAAAAAAAAAAAAAAAGACCCGTACGATTTCCGTGATTTTGATGGCCTCTCTTCCTGCTAAGTTTGCAGATTTTCCTTCACTGTGTTGCCAGGTTGGAGTCCAAAATAGCCCGGGCTGGAGATATGTGCGCGTTTATGACTGCATTGCACACAATGCACCGGATTGCATGTTAAATGGGGACATAAACACAAGCACATAAGACAACAACACGAAGGCCCATCTGTGGCCTATAACAACAGCACAGAGGAGTTTGATTCAGTGCGTAAAGACATGATGGAGTTCAAGAAAACTGAGTGAAATGACACCAGGAGGTAAAAACACTACCTGCATACGGTTATTAAACACATCCACTCGATTTGTCATGTCAAGAGAAATCAAACTCCATCGGTGTTTACACTAAACTACACTAAATGACGGTTCCTGGAGAATTCATAAGAGATCCAGGGTTAAAAGAAAAACAAACACACAACAAGCAGTTTTTTTTTTTTTTTTTTTTGTTTCTTCCAACGACAGAGTCAGAGTTGTCTCGCTGTTTCTTGTAGCCAGAGGTAGTCCACAACTTTCACCAACCCAAACAAAGTAAGAAATAATCTGAATTACGTCAAACTTCCTGACAGAAAAAAAAAAAAAAAAAACATATATCGCCACCGGAACCCGCTTTATAAGCTTCCAACAAGTCAGGAAAACTGTAAACTCCAAGTCCGCAAATGCTCCACTATCCGTCGTCCATACGTGTGCAATAACATGTATTAATTCCCAAAGGAGGAGGAGGAGGAGGAGGAGGAAGATTTCTTGGTTAGTCAAACTATCTAAATTAGCGCCGTGCAGCTGCGGGGACGCGCTGTTACTCGGTCGAAGTCTTTTCCGCGGGAGCGCGCACGATATTATTAGTGGGGCGGGCCGAGTGTGACGTAGTTCAGGTTTATGTTGCCTTCACGCGTCCGAGAATAAGTGGGAGTTTTCTAAATTTTTTTGTTGCTGTTCTAAGGCAGCACCTAAAGCGCAGCTTTTTGCCATTTAATTGACGTCATGAACAGCGGTAGGAGGGAGTAAATCACTTCATTAAATCAACAACTCAATCAACTTAATGTTAGACATCAATCAAATCCAAACTCAAGTGCTTCTAAAAACTTTAAAAAGTGATTTCCTGTGTGACTATGAAATAAATAAAATCATTCACAGCACAAAAGATCGATAGAGTCATAAGATAAAGACCCAGTCATCCCAACATGCAAGGATAAGTACTTCCAACCTCTGCTGATTAAGACTGGTTTAACTTTCAACCTACGAGGCTTTGCATCATCTTTAAACTGCACTTAAGATATTTTGCACACCATTTTATTGCATATATTTTCCATTATATTTCATAGAAAATATTCTTGTTTTGTGCTTCTTTAATGTACTTTTACACTATATTTCCCTGTGCTGCTGTGTCTGATTTGATATTGATAGGGGGATCAATAAAGGAACATCTTATCTTAAAATAAAAACAAGAACAAACCATGGGGATGAGGCAAATAATAAAACTAAAACACAAAAATTGAGACACTAGAGGTGAGCTGTTGCTATTCTACAGTGGTAGGAGGAAATAAATCACACACAACAAATCCCTTAATTAAATCAGCACCAGCAACTTAATCAACTTAAAGCCACGACATCAAATCAAATCCAAACTCGAGTGCTTTCTAAAAACTTTAAAAAGTGATTTCTTATGCGACTATGAAACAAATAAATATACAAAATATCTTGTCTTCATTTACAGTATATACAGCATTTAACATACATGAAACCATATTTGACACTAGAGGTGAGCTGTTGCTGTTCTACGGCAGCATCTAAACGCAGCTTTTTGCCACTGAATTGAAGCCGTAAACAGTGGTGGAGGAAGTATTCAGATCCTTCCAATAACACATTGAAAATGTTACTTAATGCTTTGATTATTTGGGAATACGGCGCAGAAAAAAATCTGATACTGAATCATAAAAATAAGCTTATGTTTTTAGTATATTGGTGATCTTTTTTTCAGTTTTGCAGAACATTTTATACATTTATAGCAATTTACCCATACAAGAATTGAACATGTTAGTCCTTAAATGGAAGTTTTCAGTCAAAAATATTGAAGGAATTCAAGGGTTGAGCCATCTTAACATCAATAAACACACAAACAAAATCACTTAATTAAATCAACACCAGCATTTTATTTTTTCTCCAAAAAGCATGTAAAAAATAAAAATAAAAACAAGAAAGAAAATGCACAAAATGATTGTGTATATTGGTGTAGAAAGGGGGTCGCTTACATTTTAAAATGTTACACTTCTATACCACAACTAAGCAATAGAGAGAAGGGAGAATAGAGGAGAGAGAGAGAGACTGCATACACAGTCCAAGCGTTCTTTTGCTGTAAGGCCACCTCAATCCACAGGTCAAGTCTGTAATACAGAATACATTTTTTCAAAGATGCATACATTTAAAATGTCTCGATGACAACAGCATTGAAAAGGAAGTCCACATCAAGTTTAGCACAAAAATGAAATGACTCACAGGTTAAACATTTAAAACGTTACACTGCAATCATTCACCTGAGCCACTTGGCACCAGTGTAAAGTGTACCTTGTCTGCTCTGTTACACTTAGAAGTTGCAATTCACAGATTCTGCAGTTGTACCTTGGCGAACTGCTAACGGAGAGTGACAAAGACAGCATTTCTAGATACAATGTTCTTGATTTTAAAGCATTCTCAGGGACCCAGAGGACCGTTTTAAAATGGAAAAAAGGAAACTATAAAATATACATTGTCACACACAGCAGAACCAGAGTTATTGAACATTACATGAGGATAAAAAGTGGTTAGATAGGAAAACAATGGCTGCTGGTTGAGTGAAGTAATCCTATGATAAAGAGTGGGGCTTCAGAGTAAGCAGGTTGGTTTTTGAAAAGGCATGATCAGGAGATTTCTTTGTAAAAGATCTATGTACTCAAAGATCTTGTCGGAAATAAACAATAAAAGGTCAGCTATTTATTTCTAAGGCTTCTCTTTTCAAAAGAAGTAGCGAATATCCATCTGTTTGAGTTCAGCTTTCTATTCTGCACAGCATGCTTAAATTCACAGTAAACCTTCAGTCACAAAAAGTACTTTGTGTCATTCAAGTGTCAGTCAGGTCTCAGCGGTATTCAGACATTTTCTAACATGAGATATTTGAATGGCTTTTAAATCATTCTTTGAGCAGAATGAAATATAGATGTGGAAATCTTGTCTAACTGGGTTCATTTCTCTTAAGTGTTGGAATTAAATAAGATAAAAAGTGGCTGGAGTGCAGCAGCTGCACTGCAGACCGAGGCAACGTATTCCAAAACTTTGAATAAAAGGCTACGTTGAGTTCACGGGCAAGTCATTTTTTCTTTCCTCTCACACTAGACGCTACTGTCACACTTTCCCCAGCAGGGGGTGCTCTGCACTGGGTTTAGCATGCGGCATGCAGGAGCACATCAGGGGGACCAATACTTTGACAAACCCTCCCTCAGACATCAACTGTAGATTCAGTATTAAGAAATAGGTCCAGGTGCTAAGGTGTATTTAGCTAATAAGACAGGACTTGAGAACAGGAAGGCATTTATCTAAAAAGGGAAACCTGTCCACGCTTGCTGGATGGGATTGGGAGGGAATGAATAACAATGGATGTTCAAGACACTGTGGATAGGATCCGTCTACGTCCCCATAAAAACTGTCCAGTTATATGAACACACTCAAATACAGCAGGGGGGAAAAAATCACCACAAGACGCCAACAATTGACAAGCGTGAAATGAAAATTATGCGACTTCCTGCAAGGCTTAAGCTCTGTTCATTAACATCCTCGTTTGTGACGCGGAAAACGTAATTGTGGTCATCAATTTCCCCAAATGTTTACAGCTCCTCTTAAAAGTGTTTCCTACGACGGAGTGAGGGATGTTCACGAACGAGGCCTCAGTTTCCCCCGTTGATTATTCAACATCTTGTCTGGTGATCATGTGCCATCATATGTGCTAGACGAAGAGTACAGTATGGTGGGGAATGTTCACTAAATCACAAACTACAGCTCTATGTACAGACAGTATACAAAACACAATCTGAGAATTCCATTAAAATTTCAACCATAAAAGCTCAGAGAGGATCAACTTAATGCCATGACATCAATCAAATCCAAACCCAAGTGCTTCTAAAAACTTTAAAAAGTGAATTCCTATGCGACTATGAAACAAACAAAACCATTCACAAACACAAAAGATCGATACAGTCATAAGATAAGGCTATTAAGACCCAGTCATCCCAACATGCAAGGATAAGACTCAAAGTGGTCAATAAAATAAGAACAAACCATGGGGATGAGGCGACTAAAAAAAAACACAAAAAATTGAAACACGAGAGGTGAGCTGTTGCTGATGTGTGCGGTTATTTTACAGTACTCTGTACCCTGTTTGTTCCTCAAATATATGAAACCTGACAAACTGACAGCAAAGTCACAATACTGAGGGACTATTATTTTGATTTGTGGTTTGTCGAAATGAGTGAAACTATGCAATATTTTGAAAGAAAATCGTTGGGTGAAAATTGACCTGAGTGTATGCTCTGTAACCCCTCTGATACGTCTGCCTGAGCATACGGTTTACTTATTCAAAAAAAGAAAAGGGTGCAAATTATTAGAAAGAATAAGAAATCTAAATATAGGTGATTTTATTATTATCATTATTATTATTATTATAGTTACACTCCCCATATCAGAGAAGGCGTTTGGTCACAATCAACTACCAATTCCAAACTGGAAAATAAAATTAAGAAAATACAGATTTCAATAAAGTCGAACGGAAAATATATCCCCGAAATTTATTTTTAAAGTGGTATAATTATGACTGGCCAGTCATTTCCTAGCTGTTTGTGCATGTATCTGTTCTGATGCCGTTTAAAAAGCAAGTGAGCGCGTGGGTGACTTAACAGTACCCCAGCATATGAGGCATGTGTTCATTGTGATGTATTGGAGGTGTTAGGAGGAGGAAAAGGAAGAGGCTGGGATGGGATGGGACACAGGCAGACATTATTATGCCGACTTTGTTATATTATCTGTCTCCTTGGAGGCCCAGAGCTCTTTGTGCTGCTTGCGTCCGAAGCCCTCGTCGTAGTTGCCTTTGCTTTTGAACAGCTGCTGAAAGTGGGGTTTACAGTAAAATTCACCTTGAAGAGCGGCGAAGGAGCCGAGGCTGGAGAGAGAGGATAAATGAAAACGGTTATATATAAACCAAAAAAGGAGTCAGGAGAGGAAGAAAGTCAAGTAAACACATAGGAAGGCAGTAAACTATATATAGTCACCTGAGTTTGGCGTTGCAGTGCTTGCAGCAGAAGCATGCTGAATGGAAGACCAGGTTGTTGGCAACCAATCTCTCCATTGGATAGACCGTCTTCTCACATGTTGCACACACTTCCTTTTGGGCCTTAAAGCTGAAGGACTGAGCACATAAAAATACCCGGGTTACTACCAGACGCACAGGCAGACGGTGATCTAGGCCTCGAGATGAAAGCCGACATTTACAAAAGACACACAAAACGCGGGAAAGACTTCCTTTGCTCTGCTCTGAGATCAAAGGCTGATGTACGTAAAGTGGAGCAAGAGAAAACACGCATGAATGAGGTATGAGAAAGAACAGACAGATGATGCATATTTACCTTTGATCGCTGGACAGGTTTCTCTTCAGTGGTCCTGGCGTCCTGTGTAAGCAAAGAAAAACAAACTTAACATTTAAACAAATGTATTCAAACTTGTGTAAAGACTCCTGTTATACTCTAAAGAGCAACAACAAATATTAGATGAAATCAACAGTAGACGTCAGTCCTGTTAGATC